TTCCTCCTCTCTCTCTGCCTGTCTCTCTGCCTACTTGTGATTTCTCTCTGTCAAATAAATAAATTAAAAAAAAAAGAATGATATATACATACGTCAATATTAAAGTTTGTATGCGTGTGTGTGTGTGTGTGTGTGTAATTTCTGTACTGATACCCATATCTGTGTCTGGAAGGAAATATAGGACCATGTTAATTGCAGTGATCTCTGAGCAGTGGGATGCTTTTCTCTATTTCCCTTGTCCCTTTTTAAAAATAATGAGCACCTATCATTTTTATATTATTATTTTTCTTTATTTATTTGAATAAATAAATTTTATTTATTTATAAATAAATAAAATGCTTTGTTGAAGTATAATTTACTTACCACAAAATACACCCTGCCTTTATATTATTTTACATGATTATATATTTAACAAATGTGTACTTACAAAATAGAACATTATTTAAAACAAAAAACAAATCCGGACTGCATCATTTAGGATTCTACCAAAGAAACAGAAAAAAATACACCAGTATGTATGTGTATATATGCATATTTTATGTATATGTATAAAGACCTTTGAATTTCACACTTTAAATGGGTGAACTGAATGGTATATGATTTATATCTTAATTATATCTTTTTTTTAATTAAAAAAAAATTTTTAAGTAGACTCCACGTTGAGCACCGAGACCAGTGCGGGGCTTGAACTCATGACCCCGATATCAAGACCTGAACTGAAATCAAGAGTCAGACAGTTAACGGACTGAGACACTAGGTGCCCCTGAATTATATCTTAAAACCAAAAAATTCCTGGCTCTGCCCCCCACAAGGCGTGTGACATGGAAAAGGGATCCCACCTGTGTCTGCCTCAGTTTCCTTAAGTTTAACAGTGATTGTGACCGCCGGGACCTCGTGAGCTTGCCATGCATCCGTGAGGGGGATTATGTAACTGTTCAGCAGGGTTTGACACACATGGAGCCCTTGGTGAACAGCAGCAACTTGGAACCTTCCCTGAGGTTCTGAGACATCAGTGGTCCTCCAAGCACGCGGGAAGGCCAAGCCGGAGCCTGCTAAGGGATGGGGCAGGGACCGGAAATCAGGTAGTCCTGAGGCCAGGGGTCGTTCTGAACCATAAGGTGATTCAGGCTTCCATCGTTTCACGTTTATGCTTGTGTGGATTTTTTTTTTTTTTTATTACTCTGACCCGGTTTGCCTGCACAGCTAAGCCTCCCGCACTTACCCCCTCCTTCCAAACTGCTTCTGTCCTTTTCTCTTGGTTAGAATACTTTGTAAGGTTTAAAATATCCCCCGAAGAAAGGCTGCCCAAGACCCAGCAAGCGCCCCACACTTGGTAGGCAGGGTCAGGCCTTGGGCAGCTCAGGCCCCTCCTCGCTTGTAGAGACCCCTTAGCCTTGGCCTCGTCATAGGAAACGTGCAGATAATGTTTCCTTGCCATGGGATGTCAAAAGCTTTGGTTACAAGCCCTGAAAGGCCCCAAACCGTGGAGTCACGTTCTCCCTAGACCCCTGTTGGCAGGGAGATGGCGGTCGTGGGGCTGGCCCGCACCCAGCAAGCATGAGAGCCAGCTGTGTGGAGGCAGCAAGTATAGCTGCTAAAAATAGAAGTCACGTCCAGCCTGTCATCCAGCCTGTCAGGGGGCTGGCCCAGAAGCAGGGCTCACCCCGGGGCAGAAGGGAGTGGGGGAGGAGGGTGCAGGGGGTCTCACCTTGCTGTGCCATTTCCATAACGTTATGCTGATCCAGTCACCGGCCTGAAGGGTTTGGACCTGGCACAGACTGATCTGGGTTCAAGTTCTAGCTCCTGGGCCTTGTGTGACCGTGCGGGTGTGATTTTTTACTTCTCAGAGCTTGGGTTTCCTCGTCCATCACACGGGGAGGATAATCACCATGCTTCCTCATAGGGTTTCCATGAGGTCCTGGAGGGCTGCCTGCACCCAGGTACTCCATGGCTGTTGGGGACCCTTGTTTCTGTTACTACTCGACCGGGACGCCACAGTGCCCAAAGCCAGTGATTTCATCAACCCTGACACCCTCGCCACAATACTGGGGCATTAGAATTTTCACCCACGTGGCAGAAGTGGAAACTGAGGCTTGGCCAGTCTCTGCTCTCGAGCTCAGCAGGGAAGCAGGGGTCAGGAGGGGACAGCATGTCCTGTGTGCTCTGCTGAGGTTCAGCTGCTGAAGGCTGAGGATGGTTCACTGTCCCCAGGCCCAGGCTGTGGGCATGGTGTCCTGTCCTCCAGGTTCCGGACCTGTTGTTTCTTCCAGACCCACAAAGAGAATCCTTTCCTGGGATCTCCCCAAGCACTGCTGGGCACTGGATGCTGGACAGAGAAGAGTTTAGGCCTTTGGTGGGGGCTCAGCCCTCAGGAGGAACGCAACCTCATGTGGGTCGCCCCCCATGCCTGTGCCTCACTTTTCCCATCTGAGTGTGAATCACATCAAAAATGCGAATCCCTGTCCCACCACTTATCTGAAATGGCCTTGAGTGAGTTACTTTCCTTTGCTTAGTTGCTGTGCCTTTGCCTACAAAAAGAGGCACAATGTAGTAGCGGGATGTTCATGAAAACAGGAGAGCATAAAGCTGTAATTAGTATGATTTTCATTGCATTTTAGGAAGTCTGTGCATGTGGGAGCCCCTGGATGGCTCAATCAGTTTTAAGCAGCCAGCCCTTGATCTTGGCTCAGGTCATGATCTCAGGTCGTGGGATGGAGCCCCATGTTGGGCTCTGTGCTGGGCATGGACCCTGCTGAGGGTTCTCTCTTGGCCTGTCCTTCTGCACATCTCTGCTCATGCGCTCAAAGAAAAAAAAAAAAAGTTTGTGTGTTTGTACACACTGTTTCAAAAAGACAAAGAAAATTTACTAAGACCCCTACTCCCTCTGGACACGGCTCATGGGTGACTTATTCCCTCCTGTGTAGTACCTTTGTACTTTCTTTTCCCTAATCTTCTAGTGAGTGTCTCTCACGGTAAGCCATCAGCAATGCGAAGCGTAAAAGCAGCCGTGGGAGCAGCTCAGGGTTGTCAGAGAATCACAGCCCCGGCCGCGTGCGGACGTGCTGGGTGCTGGCCGTGCTCACCCTCCTCTCCCAGGGGCGAGGGGCTGGCCCTGTTAGCCGCGGAGGGACCCGCAGCCTCCCGAGGCCTCCGTGAGGCCCGGAGCTCATCGCAGCAGCAGACAGACTTCAGCCAAAATGAAGCTTGAAGGGGAAGGAAAATAACAAGCCACGGAAGACCCGACTCCTGACTCCAGCTGCCTCCCCTGCTCCCACCTGACCGCGGGCCGTGCACCCGGCTTCCTCCGCCGCAGCTTCCCGGTGTTTCCAATGGGGCTCCCACGCCCCTCACAGGGGAGTAGTGAGGGTCCTGTTAAACTGTGGCCTCCGTCTGGTACCCCCCCTCCCGCCCCCAAGGCACTCTGCGAGGTCAGGCGCTCAAGGCACTAAACTCAGGGCTTTGCTGAGGACGCATGTTGGAACTCACCGTCTTGTTCTGCTGTGAACGGCGCAAAGGACCACCTGCAGGTGATCTGAGCCCCTCCCTCCTCCCCCACGTCCCCCATTTTCAGGCAGCTGGGACCCCCCCCATGCCTTCTGCATGCAGCCCACGCTCTGCTTTCCCTCCCCACCATGCTTCTGCCTCACCCACCCCACCCCCCACCCGCAGTGGAGACTGCTCCTTGCCTTAGTGACTTTCCTCTCCCCGCCACAGGGATCCTCTGGATCTCAAAATATTTTAAGGCGGAGTTTAAATGTCACCTCTTCAGTGAAGCCCTCCCTCCCTGCTTCACCCAGTGGATCTGGGACCCTGTGCTCTCTCTGCGCGACTCTTCTACATCAGTCTCAATGATCTACTTACAGACCTGCTTCCCGCACTGGACTGAGAGGCTCCTGAGGGGTGCACATCTTACCTGTCCTCCCCAGCGTCCAGCCAGTGGAGAACAGGTGGGTCTCAGGAAGCCTTTGTTGAAACAGTGGCTGCGACCCACACTGTTAGAAGCAACCATGTGTGTCTTCCCCTCAGAAACAAGTGCGCAAAGGCACAAGTAATGGTTTAGTAGCAGCCTGTCCTCAATCCCATTAGCTCTGCACTCAACGAGCAGGGATGGAGATGTATTTGCTGGGACACCGGTGCTGAGGCAGAAGGTACCAGAACCTGCTGGGCCGGACCTTTACTTGTTACCCCTACTCGTCAAGGGAAAGCAGGTCTGTCTCCGTTGCGGACTGGCCATCAGCAACCCGGGCCAGAAGCCCTGACACTTCCGGAGCCTGTCACGTGTGGCAAGGTACCACGGCACATACAAAGCACTAGTATGTTCCCTTGTTGTATTCGGGCCTTGTGAAAAGCCCATGAGCTGGCCGGGGCCGGGGAGGGGCTGACCCCCATGTTCAAATAAAGAGGCTCCGGCACAATGGGATACCAGGTTTGGGCCCAGGCTGGATCTGGGTTTTCTGATATGTTACGGGTGTTACACTAGGGAGAACAGGCAGGGCTGCTGACCCATTTTACAGATATGAACCCTGAAGGTGCGAGGAGTGAAGTCTACTGCAGCCTTGTGAGCAGAGGGCGAGTAAGCTGTAGGAAGGCTGGTGAGCAGAGGAGCGAGGCCCAGAGCCGGAGCCCTAGGCAGCCACACGAAGGCTCAGAGTCTCTGTGAGGTGGGAGGGAGGGTCCCTGCAGGGACTGGCTGTGTGAGGCCTGCGCCGTGGGAAGACAAGTGTGGGCCGGGCCAGGCCAGGCGGGCAGCAATGCTGGGGCTCCTGGCAGACGTTTCGGTGTGGCGGCCCCTTTGAGGTTGTCAGGACCCAGCACGGGAGGCAGGCTGAGGAGGCTCCCCCAGCACAGAGAAGAGGAGCCCGAGGCCCGGAGAGGGTGCTCCTGCCGGCCGAGGGGCGTCCTCTGTGAGACTGACAGCACCGCCCAGGACTCGACAGTGGGCTTTTCAGATCTGGCGCTGCTCAAACCAACTCCCACAACCAGGCACTGCATGAAAACTTCAACAGAAATCAAAACAATCTCTTTCTTTGGTTTTATACTTATTTAAAAGGACAAGCTCTGCTCAGTGCCTCAGAGGCCCCAAACAGTCAACTGAAAGAAAGAAATACCCAGTTAATTAGGTGACATGTGATTCAGGAAAGCGCTGAAGGCGGGGCCTCCGAGGGAGGGAGAGCAGAGGGTTTCTGACCCCCTCCTCCTCCCCCTCTCTTCTGGCTGCTCCCGGGAGCTGAGGGACCTGGTTTCACCTACAAGAGGCGAAGGGGGTCCTGCCAGCGGAGGCCCACACAGGGGCCCACACAGGGGAGCACGCTGGGGAGCGGAGCTGCCAGATTCCGGACGGCAGGTGTGGGGTGGGCCAGCTTGGCCACGTGGGGGCAGGGAAGGGGGTGGAGGAACCTGGAGGCCACGAGGCTCCTGAATGTTTCTAGCTCCCCTGCAGCCCTAGGCCCCTCCTGTACCAGGAGGCCCAGACCTGGAGACTTTCTGGGCAGAAAGGAACCTCAAGGTCTTCGAACCCAGGTCCCAACCTGATGCTGCCCCACCCTCCCCACTCCAGCACAGGGACCATGCCGTGCAGAGAGCTGCTTTGCTCAGAGAGCTTCTCTTCTCCTCCCCATGCTCAGCATCCCTGCCCCAGCCCCGGTCCCTCTTCCCTCCCAGTCCCGGTCACAGGCTGCTTCAACATGCAGGGCTGGAGGGGCTCCCAGGCTTCAAGCATCACTGTGGTCGGTGCAGAAGACAACAATCTACTGCCTCCTTCCGGACCTTTGTGGCCCAGCCCAGGGCCCCGCCACCACCAAAGCTGAGGGCGAGCCACGGTCCATCTGTCAGTCCTGCTCAGATCATGCCGGCCCAGCCCAGCATGGTGCCTGGGATCTTGGGCGCCATGGACAGGCCCTCAGTCAGCTTACAAACCCTGCAGCATACTCTGGTGCTCCCTCGGGGGTCGGGGATGGCTGGCACGGCCCTCCCTGCCCTAAGTACTTGTCTCCACGATGCACTTGAGGAACATGGTGTCGTCCTTCACGTAGGCATGCTTGGGTGACTGCAGCCTGTTGAGGGGGAAGAAGAGTGGGCAGCCGCTGGCCACGTTGGTCTCATTCTGGGGCCGCTGGAAGGACGCAGAGCTCAGGTCGGGCCGGAAGGCATCGATGGCGTGCTCGCGGTTGTTCTGGTCCAGCAGCATGAAGGTGACCTGTGTGGCCGGGGGCAGGGGATGGTCAGGCTCTGGGCAGCAGCAATGAGGGACCCCCGTACAGCCCCTCTGACCCCAGCTTAGGCTGATCAGGAGCCAAAGAAACAATATGATGCCTGCGTTTGGCGTGTGGCAAGGCCCCCGGGGATGGAAGTCTTCCAGGGATAACCTGTGAGTAGGAATCAGATTTTCTATCCACCAGGAAAGGGGGAATTCAGAGCTACGCTCCATTCTGGTTGGCTGCTGGGGACTGAAGGTGGGACCAGGCACTGGCAAGGAGGCCAGACTCCATAACCTACGATGCCCCTTCCGGCTCTGGAACGTCTGACCCATCAGCTACAGCTAGGATCTCCCAGGATAAGGTAGAGGGACAAGAACAAGAAGGCCTTCTCCGGGGGCCGGGGTGGGGGGTCTGTCAACCTGTGTCCTAAAACATGCATGCGTACCCCGAGACGCCAAGGCTCTCAAAGCGACACAGACCCACTTCTCTGCCGCACGTCCCTGAAACACCCATGGCGACCACGCTGGTTCACAGGTTGGGCTGCACTTTTGCAGGTCCTGGGAAGGTTTCAAAAACCCTGATGCTCAGGCCTCACCACACACTGGAAACCCAGCCGTTGGGTATGTTAAAACCCTCCCTGGCAGGTCTGGGAACCCCTGACCCTAGCGACTCATATCCAGACCACTGTGGCATCCCCACCCTGTCCCACCTGCTGGCCCTTATCTCCCTCCATCCTAGCAGAGGCCTGTGTTTTTGGCCCCACCCCATCCTTCCCCTCCCCACCTTGCTGGTTCAGGGGCAGGGAGGGCCTCCCCGCTACTGTCATTCTAAATATTTTAAATAGATTTTGTTTATTCAAGCAGTGTTTGGTGCCCAGTCCAAGTGAATGGGAACTCTAGAGACTGCCCACCCGCCCTCTGCTCCCACACAGCCTCTCCTCCCCTGGCCGGCGCCCCCCAGCCCAGTGGTACATTTGCTACTAGCAATGAACAGGTCAGAGTCACCTGAAGTCCACAGTTCACCTCTGGGTCTTATGCTCCGTACCCAGAATTCTAGCACACGGAAGAGCTTCACTGCCTGAAAAATATGCCGCTCTCTGCCTCCCCCCAGCCCCTGGCAACTACTGATCTCTCCGGTCTCCACGGTAGTGCCGTTCCCAGACCGTCCCAGAGCTGGGATCACGCGGTCTGTGCATGCCCTTCCGGACTGGTTCCTTTCACGAAGGGAGAGGCCTCTCCGGGTCCTCTGGGTCTCTGCATGGCCTGAAGGCTCCTGTGTTCTTAGCACTGACGAGATTCTGTCTCCATGCCTGCAAATCATGCTTCCATGCACCCAGTGAAGGGGAGTCTGGCTCCTTCCATGTTCTGGCAATTATCAGCGAAGTTGCTGTAAGCACTGGTGGGCAGGTTCTTGAGAACCAAAGTTTTCAGCTGATCTGGGTAAAGGCCAAGGAGGGTGGCTTTGAGGTCAGAGGGGGAGAGTATGTTTCGTTTTGTCAGAAACTGCCAAACCGTCTCGTGTTCTGGCCGGCCATGACTGGGAGTTTTGGCTGTTCCACAGCCTCAACAGCCTCTTGTGTTGTCAGGGTTCTGGCCATTCTCACAGAGTTGTTGTGGCATCGGCCTCCTTCCCCTTCTCTGAAAACGCTGTCAGTTCAGGCTGGCCCACAGCACCTCCTCCAGGTAGTTTTCCTTATTCACCCCATCATGTGAATTTCACTGCTACATGCCTTCCTGGGGGCACTGCTCCAGGCCTGTTAGCCCCTGGACTCATGATGCCCATCGATACTAGATATGGACTCAGGATCTTGTTTTGTAAAAGGTGAAACCGAGAATGCAGAGAAGACCAGGACCCGGGCTCGCCCCTCCCCTGCCCAGCCCGTACCTTGTTCCGGAAAGGCCAGGGCAGCAGAGCATCGTACTCCCCTCTCATGATCACGATGAAGAGCGACAGGTGGGTCCTCTTCCCTGTCCCGTCCCCATTCAGGTAGAGGCGCAGACACAGCTTGTAGCCGTACTTGGCCGTGTAGAAAGCTGAAATGTGGAAGGCAGAGTTAACACCGACGGAGCTGGACGGTGTCGCCCGCGCAGACCAGGGAACCGGGACCTATGGTTAGGCAAGCCCAAAGTCAGTGGCTCAAAACTAAGAAATCTGGGGCTGGAGTGCAGCTCTCTTCTCAAGAGAGCAGCAAGGAGGCCCAGCCAGGGTCCTGGAGATCATCCAGCCAAGGGGCTCTCAACCAGCCGTCCAAATCACAGAATGCCGGGCCCAGAGTTTGACGCACCAGTGCCATGGGAGAGGCCCGAGAACAGGCATCTCTAACGGGGCGGTGATGCTGCTGGCCCTGCCCCACACCTGCAACCCACCTGCATTTCGCTGCGGGGAAACCAAGCCCAGTGAGGGGAAGTGGCTGGGCCCGGGCTCAATGTGCTGAGGGCAGAGCCAGAATTAGGACTCTGGCCTCACAACGCTGACTTCTTTCTACTGCCCTAGGCCAAGCGGCCCCAACCACTGCAAGCTGGGGGAGCCTGGGACAGCTCCCACGTCCACCAGCTGCCTTGGCGAAGGCCCCCAGGGGATGAATCACATACCACCCCCCCCCTCGCTGATTACGCAGAGTGGCCTGCGGGCAACTGAAAGGGCCATGCAAGTGTGGGTGCCAGTGGCTGTCACCACAAGGGCCCCTCTGGAAAGGGCTGGGGGGGCCAGGCTGGGGGAGCAGGCAGGAAGAGGGGGAGGAAGGACGGGTCGACAGTCTGACTCATCTGTCCCCTTACATTTTGGTGGAACAGGAAGTCAGAGACACTGCTTCTTTTTTTTCCTCTTTGGAAAGAAGGGCGGGGTGAGGAGGGCACTGTGGGGGAGGCAAGGCCACCCCAGGAAGGGGGTTGCTCCCAAGGGCAGGGGCCTGGCAGCGGGAGGCAGCCCTGCTCCGCGGCTTGGGGCAAAGGCCCGGGCCTGCCTGGATCCCAGCCCTGCTGGTGGAGGGTGTGTCAGAGGGGCTGAGGGACAGGATGGGTGTGAAGCCCGGGGAAACGTGCCAGGCTCTGAAAATCGTCATCCACAGAAATCCTCCTAACTTACTTAGATGCGTACATGTGAGACAAGAGGAAAAGCACGCAGGTTTGAGAATTTTATGAATAGATACATACATCATTACATCAGTGGAGACCAATGAACTAAGAGACACATGGACTGGGGTGCCTGGGTGGCTCAGTCAGTTAGGTGTCTGCCTTTGGCTGAGGTCATGATCCTGGGGTCCTGGGATCAAGACCCGCAATGGGCTCCCTACTTGGTGGGGAGACTCACTCTCTCTCTCCCTCTGCCCCGGCTTGTGTGCTCTTTCTTTCTCTTTCTCTCTCAAATACATCAATCAAATCTTTTAAAAAACCCAAGAAACAAGAGAAAAATCCGAGTAACTACTCCTTTCACGACAGGGTGCCAGGGCCCCGGGGCCCCAGAGACGAACCACACGGATTTTCCCGGCGCTTGCTCACACACCACTCACAACCCACAAGTGTGTGTGTCGCTTCATTCTCCTCTGGCCTTACTGCAGACCCTGGTGCTCTGAGGGCGGGGGTCCTACAGGGGAGTGCCCGCGGGGGGCATCCTCTGTGACCCTCTCATTTCCATCAGGACACTCCCTCTGCCACATCGAGATCGGCAGAAGTAGACAACAATCGTATTCCTATTTGCAGAATATGACTGATGTCAGGGAGGCAGAAGGCCTGCCCGATTCAAGCTGCCCATGCTCCATGGGGCTGAGTGGGGAGCCTGTCACCTCCACGACCCCGGCATGGTAGGTGGCCGGGATGTCACAGAGCTGGCCGCTGTCCCTGCGGGTTTCCTGGGCCCAGCGAAGCCTGCCTCCCCGTGCCGGGCTGCGCCCCTGGGGTGCTGGTACCTGGGGAGAAGAGGCTGACGGTCCTGCCACAGGCTGATTCGTGGCAGCGCCTGGTGACATTGGTGATCTTCCAGAGGAAGGTGCCATCAAAGGAGGCCTCCTCCATGAGGCGGAGGCCCTGCTCCAGCTTGCCCAGGGCCTGGTCTTTCTGAGCTAGCGTCTGCTGCAGCTCCAGCACCTGTGGGGAAGCCCATTCAGTGGGGGACACCAGAGCACAGCGTGGGGACGGGGTGGGGTTACGGAGGTTATGGAGGTGACAGAGTCAGCTCTGTCCCCAATATGCCTTCCTGACCACGCCTCCCTCGGGCACATGGATCTGCCTGTGTCTGTGCCGTCCCTCCCACCTGGACCTCTATGGCCTCTCTCTTCTCCCCTGGGCAACTCCTCTTCATCCATCAGGAACCTGGCTCACGGAGCCCTCTTCTGGGAAGCCTCCCACTACCGCCCCAGCTCCGCTGGTCTCTCAGCGGTGTTCTGCAGGGCACTTCCTGAAGTTTAAGATACGGCTTTCTGCCCTTCCTACCAGAGAGGCAGTTTCCCCTAACAGAGGCTGCACCCATGCTCATTTCCTCTCTGTCTTCAGGCCTTGCGTGATGCACGTGGGACCAGAGTCAGGAAGGTTCTTGACACACTGAAGGCATGGCTGCTAGCCTTGGGGAGCCCTCCTCGCTGGGGCAAGCATTACATACGTAACTGTTACACTCCCCACTGACATTTGAAAAAACACAGACTTATTCTTGGGTGTGCTTAGGTCGGGAGGGCAGGCATAGCAGTGAGCGTCCTTAGAGGAAACTGAATCCCTGATTTTCCTGATGGGAAAGCTGAAGTTCTGAGAGAGGAAGTGACTTGCCCAGACCCACACAGCAAGTTAACAGTGGAGCTGGAACTAAAATCCAAGCCCAGCACAACATGAGACAGTGACAGAATGTTGCTGGACAGAGGAAAAAGAAAAGAAAAGAAAACAGTATTAACATGATGACTGGCTATATTAGGAAAAGTATAAGCTCCAGAACAAGGGAGGACATTGTCCTGCTCAACCAACTGTCAGGTAGATGGATTTTCTGGAGTTGGTCTGGGACCATCACTCTGAGCGTGTGGAATCCTTCAGAGACTGAGCCATAGCCCATGAGGACAGCATGAAGACGGCGGCTCTGAGGAAGGGGTGAAGGCAATGGGGGTGTTGAGCTTCAAGAAGGAAATATGCAGGGACTGCTTCTCTCTGAAGGGCTTCCACAAGGACTGGAAGGCAGTAGTTTTCAGTAGGCCCTGAAATGCAGGGCCAGGAACAATGCCGGGAAGACATAGAGAGGCTGATTTTAGTTCAGTGTAAGGAAGCACCTTCTCATTGTGAAAAACATCCCCCCAATGCTTGGGAAGGGAGGACCCTACCACATGGAAAGTTCAAGCAAAGCAAATGAAGCACACCGGGCCGGGGAGCTTGACCTTGGCTGTCACCTGGGATTCAGTGCTCTTCCTCGAGGGTCTTGGAACACGGACAGATACCATTTGGGGGGGGGGGGCAAGGGGGAGGCGTCCACTCAGCAGGGAGAATGTTCAGAAGGAAGGCTGCCGGTCCACTGCTCTAGAGACAAGATGGGGCCCAGGGTCCCCCGGAGCCCACCTTGAAGGGAGCTTGCCTCCCACGCTCACCCGCTCTTCCAAGCTCAGGATGTGCTCGCGGTCGAGCTGGCTCTGGTGGATGGAGGTGGCCAAAGCCAGGTGGGAGGCCTCCACCTCCTTGTTGAGGACGGCGACGATGTTCTCGAACACACGCAGCTTCCCCTCCAGCTCAGCCAGGAGCTTCTCCTTCATGAAGTGTTTCAGGGCCTGCTCGTCCTGGCTCTCGGCGTGGGGCGCCCGGTAGCAGTCCACTTCCAGGTCCCCCGCCACCTCCACGGCCGCCTGCAGCTGGAGGTCTGACAGATTCTGCTCCAGGGCCCTGGGCCCGGACCCCAGGCCCACGTCCTGCTGGGCCTTCCACTGCTTCAGGAACCCCAACAGCAGGTTCAGGTGGGCGGTCTGGGAGGTGACTTCATGCTCCTGCAGGAGCTTTGGGCTCCCCTACCAAGAAAGCAGGGCTGGTCAGTGAAAACGGAGGAGGTTGAGGAGAACTAGGGAGTGGGGGAGAGTTCAGCTACCCAAAGGCTGCCAAGGAAAGTCAGGTCCATTTACCCAGCAAAGGGGAAGATGCTTTGTGTGTCACAAGAGGGGTCTGGACCAGCACCCTGGCATCAGACATGCCCAGGGTGAGCCGTGTGTGTCGCAGTCTCTGGAGCAACAATTCTGCCCTGCCCGTGAGAGCAGTGTTTATTCAGGACCACGGAGAGGGGCGGGGTGGGGGCGGAGCGCGTATTTTAGTGACGCTACAGTGGTCAGGTGAGACATTCAGAAGAACTTTCCTAAGTATGGAGATGATTTATAGTGGGATTTTTTGCTCTGAAGAGCCATTAATGTAAGGGACATCCAGAGCTCTGGGACTGCAGTGGCCCTCTCTCCTTTCTCACACCCAGATGCTTACCTTGTAGGAGCAGCCAACACTAGCAAAGGGGCACCCAGCTTCAGCCTCAGCCGCCTCAGGGTGATCCTAGAAACAATAATCATCACCAAATGTTACGGGGGTCCCCAGTGGCCACCACTGGGGCTCTCTGCCAAGCATGAGGCTCTACCAGGGCAGGAGCTGGGCTGGCCCACGTGACTTAGCACACGCTGTTCCTTCTCCGCCTGGCTGACTCCTTTCCACCTTTCGAGCCATCAGCCCTTCTGGGACGCCTCCTTTAACACAGACCTCTGCTGTGATCCTGGGCTGCTGTCTCTTCTGTCAGGATATGTCCCACCTGGCTTTCCAACCATCATTCACTCTTTGGTTGCCCCCACTGGGCTGGGGGATCTTTGAGGGTCACAGCTGTGTTCCCAGGATGGGGCAGTGTTTATTACAGAGGAGACACTTGGGACATGCTGGCGGCACCTCTCAGCGCCTGAAGCCCACGGGGGCTCTCCTCACGATTCCCATCTGCTTCCCTCCTCGGCCATCCACCCGTGACTGACCAAGGCATGTCTGCTCTGCACTGCTGTCCCTTCCAGAAAAAGGACAGCCTGAGGGCAGCAATGCAGACGGGATTCAGTATTCAATAGCAACTAGACAATACCGTTAACCTGTTTATAGGTCTGAGGAGCTCACAAAATGCTTTCATGATCACACTATTTCCCGGGCCCCCAATGACACCGCGAGGATGGCAGAAGAGGTTTTTTTTTTTTTTTGTTCCCATTTTACCGATGAAGAAGCAAGGCTGACAAAGGGGAAGAAATGTGCCCAAGAAGGAAGAGTGAGGGAGCTGGCCACAGGGCACTCACAGTCCCACATCAGAGCACTGTCTCTTACCAAGGATAAGCCCATGGGAGATTGGTAGAAAATTTTTTCCAAAACGCATTATTTAGAAGGGGCTTGTATCCGGAATATATAAAGAACTCTTACAATTCAACAAATAAGACAAGCCACCTAATAAAATGGCCAAAACAATGAACAGATACTTCCCAAAAGGCATTATTTAAATGACAAATAAGCCCATGAAAAGATACTCAACATCACTAGTCATCCCAGAAATGCAAATTACAATGAAATACCACAGGGAAATACACTACTGACTCAGGAGATGGGCAAAAATGCAAAAACGAATGATAACATCAAGTTTTGATGGAGGATGTAGAGGAACTTGAGAACACAAAATGGAACAGACACTTTGGAAAAATTAATGCAAGTGTATCATAAAGTTAAATCATACTTAAAAAGCAACTTTCTTACAAACCATGCCCATATGGTGAGCATACCACCCACACATTCTGTCCCTAGAAATCGACCCGAGAGAATCTGAAACGCACATGTGTGTGTGTATGTGACGTTCACGGTAGCTTTATTCGTAACAGCCCCAAACTGGAAGCAATCCAGATATCCACCAAGCGGTGAATGGAAATGCAGAGTGTGCTCTGTCCGTGCTGTGCAACGCTCCCTGGCCATCAGATGGAGGAAAATATGAATAAATGCGGTAACATGGAGGAACGTCAAAAGCATTACTGCTAAATCAAAGAAGTCAAGCTTTACAAGAAGTCAAAGACTACACGCTAGGACTCCGTTCTTACGAGATTCTAGAGAAGAAAGTTGAGTGACAGAAAATAGATCTGTGGCTGCCTGGGGCTGCCGCTGGGGAGATGGCCTAGCCCGGGGCACAAGGAGGTTTTTTCCAGCATGGAAACGTTCACCCCCTGTGCTGTAGCAGTCCCACAACTGTACACATTTCCTGGCATCCATCCAACGGTACGCTTAAAGAGCAGTGGATTTTATTGCTATGCAATAAAATCTTGATTTTTCAAGGGCTTTTTTTTTTTTTAAATGCTCTCATGGGGGCAAAAAGAAGGCAGATTTGGATGCAAGGGGTGGGTAGAGAGGTATTTCGGGCTGATCAAGTATAAAGCCACCCTAGTTATTATTTTTTAAAAGTAAAATAAGCAAGAGCTGTGGGTTTAATGAGTACCGCTGGTTTGGGGCACAGAGCAGAGCTCGGCAAACGGCTGCCCTCCCCTTCACCCCCTGCCCTGGGCTTCCAGCACAACTTGTTCCTGACAAGGAATAGAACACAGATGTTTCACTGGCGCGGGGGCAGAGGGCGGCCTTGGCAGAGACCGTGCTGGCTTTGGGGAGCAGCCGTGATGCAGCCTCTCCTAGCAGGTGGGAGGATGGAGAGGACCAATGGCCAGCTGAGGCTTGGCTGTGGACCTGGTCCCTGGGTGGACGGACCAGGGCAGGTTCCGAGGCTCTAAGCCTGAAGGGAATCCCGGCGGGGGAAGGCGGTGCCAGTGAGAAAACTGGGGGCGGAATCAGAGAGACCCCGCAGGTGGAGGGGCCCGTGCTCTTTTGGCTGCAGAGCCCTGCTGGTGTCCCGAAAGCCCACTGCAGCCTGGAAAGCCCAGTCTGGATGTATTACGATGCGTGGATGGGGGCGTGGGCCACGGCCAGCCTCCAGTGGCTGACGGAGGATGGGCAGGGTGACTCGGGAGGACCTTAGAGGTCAAAGTAGCCAGCCCTGGAGTCAGCCTGGAGGAGTGCAAAGCCCATTTCAGTCACTTCACACGCTAGCTGTTTGGTCCTAGGAGACTTGTTAACCTCTCCCCGCCTCAGTTTCCTTATCTGCAAAAGGGGGATAACACCCCCCCCCCCCCCCCGCCATGAAGTTGCAGGGATCACGTAGGACAATATTCTTAAGTGCTGGCATTACTTACTACTACTGTAACAAAATACCACAAACTTAACAGCTTCGAACAATACCATTTTATTATCTCACAGGTCAGGAAGGCAAAGCCTTCACGTCAAGGTGTCCATGGGATCGTGTTCCTTCTGGAGGCTCTAGGGAAGACTGTTTCCTTGCTTTCTCCAGGTGGAGGTCACCTGCATCCCTTAGCTCACGGCCCCTTCCTCCATCTGCACAGCCTACAGGACAGCATCTTCCAATCTCTCCGGCTCTGACTTTCTTGCCTCCCTCTTATGAGGAGCTTTGTGATGACCCTGGACCCCCCTAGATAATCCAGGATCATCTCTCCATCTCAATTTAATCCTTGATTTAATCACCTCTGCAAAGTCCCTTCTGTCATTGTTATGGGCAGAGTTGTATCCCCCAGCTCATCTGTTGGGAACCACCCCCCCAAGAACAGGACGACATTTGGAGATTTGGAGACAGGGTCTTTACAGAGGTGGTGGAGTTAAAACGGGCAGCAGCACGGCCCTCCTCCGATAGGACTGGTGTCCTATCGAACAAGAGAACACCAATGGAGGACAATACGGTGATACCAAAGAAAGCAGCATCTCCTTTCTCCGGGAGAAAGGCCTTGGACAAAACCCACCCTTGCCTGTGGCTTCTTGCCTCCAGAACTGTGAGAAGACATTTCTCTTATTCCGCTACCCAGTCTGAGGTGTTTTATGATGGCAGCCGGAGCAGACGAATCCAGCCATGGAAGGTAACATAGTCACAGGTTCTGGGGGTTGGGAGGTGGACAGCTTTGGGGAACACCATTCTGCCTACCACAGCACTCAATGTTAGCCACAAGCAGTAGCTATGGGAGTATATTATTCGTATTTTTATTCCATGGATTAAACAGTGCCCTTGGGATATCTTTTTTTTTTTCTCCCATGACTCTCATATATATGCTTCTCATTTAATTTTCCCCACTTGAACTTTTTCCTTTTTTAAGAATTATTTATCTGCGAGAGAGGGAGAGGTTGAGCAGGGAGAGAGGCAGGAGGAGAGGAAAAGGGAGAGAATCTTCAAGCACACACCCCACTGAGCATACAGCCTGATGCAGGGCTTGATCCCAGGACCCTGATATCATGCCCAGAGCCAAAATCAAGTGTTAGACGCTTAACTGACTGAGCCACCTAGGTGCCCCTCTCACATCTTGAACTCTTAATAACTAATCCTATAAAACCCTATTTTGCCACTGGATTTCCTTGGGGAGGTGAGGAACATCTTAAACCTATTTGTATTTAAACTGGACCAAAGCATTCTTGTGTGTTTTTCATAAGATCCCTGCAGTGACCTCTGGAGGCAGGCAGGCTGGGATTAGCTTCCTCCCAGTACAGATGGAGAACTGAGGAGGGGCCGGGCTGTGGTCCCAGGAAGCGTGAGCGCCGAGGACCCACCTGGACCTGGGTCTGCCGGTCAAGTTACGAGACCTTACAAGGGTCTGCCGCTTTCTCAGCAGCTGGGCGAGCTCGGCCCCGGCGGATCTCACAGCACCGTAAGGAGGAGCTCAGAGGCTCTGCTCCTCGTGAAAGTGGGAATGCGAAGCTCAGGGATGGCCAGCGGCTTGCAGGGAGTGATACCAGTTCACGGCAAAGGCAAAGTAGCGGCCGGGGACCTACAGTCCATGACCGGGGTCCTTCCTCCCAACCGGGGAGTCCTTGCCTTACCCGAAGGGTGGGGACGGAGGGGTCGGGAGAGGGAATCAGGCCAGGGCCGCAGAGGAAGAATGGGGCATCTGTCCTGGGCCCAGCCTGTTCTGTCTGGTGCCGTAATTGACCCCTGCGAGCGGCCTCAGGGCTTGCAAACTGCTAAAAATAAAATCCACAGTGGAATTTTCTCCGAGGAGGAAAAAGAAACAGAAAACAAAATCCCAGCCCTGAGGGAACACTTGTCCTTCTGTGTCTGAGAAGTCTGGGGATGTGTGCTATGCTCTCCAGGCCCTTTGTGATGGGGTCAGCAGGGGGTCCCATCAAGAGGTCCCCCACCCTCCATTAGGGGACCTGTGCACTTCGGAGAATGTGAGCATGAAGAGACTGACCCCACTGACCCCACTGCCACCCTGGACATGGAGGCTGGCTCGGGTCCTGCTCGGGGATCACTGGGGCTGAGGGAGAGGTCCTTCACCATGACAAGGGGGATCTAGTCAGTCTGTGTCTGCCTGCCAGCTTCTGCCCTCTTCTGTGCCATTGCCTGTTTCTCTCTGGCAACTCCTGCTCAGCTCAGTGGCCACCTCCCCCAGGAAGCACTGCCTCAGTGTCCTAGGTGAAAGCACTCTTGCCCATTCCCGTTTTTCCGTAGCACCTGGTGGACTCCAGATCTCAGGGCTGACGGTGTTACTTAAACCTGCATACAACATTTGGGGTGACCCACCAAGAGAAGGTGCCACCGGCTGAGGAGGCAGGGTCTGGAACCTGGGTCTGCCTCCCCGTCGTGGTAGGACGTGGATCCAGGCACACCCTCTCACTAAGCCTCAATCTATTACCTAAAGTCTAGGCAAAACAGGGATATGACCGCCACCCACGACCCAGGATGTCACAGGATCGACACACTTCAAGGGACGCCAATAAAGGGGAGAAAGTTACCCCGAATGCACAGAGACCGGGACAGACTCAAGAGGGACACGGTCAGTGTCCTCCCACAGATGCGGGCCTGCTTCGGGAAGGCTGACCGACTTGCCTCTCGTGGCCCCAAGAGAAACAGACTCCGGCTCAGTACAAAGAGGAACACAGCGCAAGCATCAGAGTCCCCTTTGGTCAAAGAACTTGTCTCATGGGGTCACAAGCCTGTGGCTTATTGGAAGCCACTGGCATCAGAGGCCAGCTTGCTTCTGGCCTCATCGAGTGATCTCTGAGGCAAAAGAGTGAAGGAAACAATCCCCCTCGCAGGGTCGCAGGCACACAGAATTGAATGTTATTTTCCAGGCACCGGTTGTTCCTTATTCCGCTGTCACTTCTAGAGGAAGGTCATTCCAGGCGAGAACCTGGCCTCTAACTAGGTCAGCAGTGATCCTTTAATATCTGGGTCTTAGAGTAGCTCCCAAGTCCACGGCTGTGAACGTTTGAGAGAGATAGCCATCTAATGAACTCAGAGGCCGAGGACAGGCTGATAAGCAGATGGCATGGGAAAATGCCACAAGGCTGGATGCCTCTGGGGTTGACTGGGCCAGCCTCTGACCACCCTGCGCCTCCATTCCACAGGTTGTTCTGCATGCACAAACTTCAGAATGACCACATATGCAAAGGATTGACTTCTAATCAGCTGCTCTCCTTTGCTCAAAAGTCCTCCAAAGTTCCCACTGGGGTCAGGAGCCAGAGGAGTCTCTGGTCTTTCCGGTCTGCGGCTCTGAGCGGTGTGAGACCACTGGCTCACACCGCACCCCCACCCCCGCCCCGGCTTTTCCCTGGGCCCAGGGCGGTAGGGGGGGGGAGCGTGAAGATCACACCAGGTGGGGAAGCCGGGGTGAGAGGCCTGCTGCCGCCTTTGCCCCCCTTAGAGGCGGCACCCACTCCCACCCTGAAGGCTGTCAGAGCACCTGTGATTCTACCATCGGAATCACTTCATTTGATTTCGGGCAACAAGTTTCCCACTGCGCTCTGCAGGGCTCCAGGAGCTGCCAGAGCCCCTCAGGGGCGGGGAACAGCAGAAAAGGAGGGGGTGCCAGGCTCCCCCTTAATCCGAACACCTGTACTCTCATCGGATTTCACGTTCACCAAGATGAAAAATTAAAACCACTGGATTACGAGATGGAAAAGAGCTCTTTCCTCTATTACCTGAGATTTGTACAAAGAAAGTGCATTAATTTTGTTAAGAGGAAAAAATAAGACAAATTGGAAACAATCTTCCTGGAGCACTCGAGCAGGCAGGAGCCTCAGAAGACAGGGAGCAGGCGGCCTCCCCTTTGCAGGTGGAGCACGGTGGCCCATACCGAGAGCTGCGTACGGTCGGCTGGCTCTCACGTTAGCTCCCTGAGACGTGGAGACGGGGAGGCCTGGGAAGCCATTCCACGGGTCAGTTTGACCAGTTAGCAATTAACCATGCGGCCAAGTGCAGAGTTCTGGGAAAATGCATGGGGTCCTTACTGTTATTCCCTTGAGGGCCCACCGGGGAGGGGCTGCTGAGAAGAGGATGGGAGAGCCCTCAAGGCCAGCTCTGCTGGGGGCAGGAAATTCCTCCAGCTCTCTGAAGGTGGGGGGGGGGGGGCGCAGAACAGAGAAAAGAGAAGGTGTGAAGACTTGTCCGCCTCTGGCTTCCTTGTAGCCAGTCACGGACAGGTCAGCCGGACATCACAGGTCCTGGACTGGCCTTGTAGGACCGCCTGGGCTTCTTCATTTCACAGGTGGAGAAACAGGCACGAACACGATCTTGGCCTCGTACAGAACGTACAATGCTGTCCCTGGACACCAGGCTCCTGGGCGCTGGGCTGTGGTTTCAGGGCAAGGAGGGAGCTCGGGCTGAAAGCAGTCCCCGAGAGGGAGGATGGCCAAATGGTGAGATACAGGTCACTAGGGAGTTGTGTGCTGAGACTCCCCAGTGGGTGCTGGGGGCCCGAGGTGTAAGACCGGGGGCTAGATTTCGAGCAGCAGTTCTTACAGCTTTGGGCCAATACGAGTTTTTTGTGTTTTTTTTTTTTTTTTTTTTTAATTGTTGGATGAACATGAAGATTGCCATTTTTTTTTTTTAATTTTACCAAGTAAAGATGTTATCAAAAATCCTATCATTGACTACCACCATCATTTCATTTGTACAAAGACATGTATAGGGAGGATATAACCCCAGAACAAAGGCTGATTCTACGAACGAAAAGGTTTCAGTTTTTAAAAAACTCACTACAATATCCTTACTTTTATCACTTTGTCACATCCTGGCAGGAACGGACCAGGTGTGGTTGGCCTGTGGGAGCCTCTGCCCTGGACAGACAGACCTGTGAGGGTTCTTCCAACTCGGAAGGGCTAGAATTCTAGACTGTGATGTGTGAGGATGTCTCTTTGGCCCCTCACACTGCCAAAGCCGTTTCTTATTCATAGAAGCACAGCTTGGCTGAGCTCCAGAGGTGAGCTGAGAAGGATTTCTCCCTCTCTGAGGGCACACGGAGCAGAAAGAACTGTCTAGATTTGCCGTGAAGGGCCAGAGAGCAAACACTGGGAGTCGCATCTTCTGCTGCAAACTACTGACCTCCGCCGTCGCAGGGCCAAAGCAGCCATACACCGTACGTCAGTGAGTGTTTGGGGCTGTGTGCCAATAAAACTTTATTTGTAGACACAGAAGTTTGAATATAATAAAAATTTTCATGTGTCACAAAATGCCACTCTTCCGACTTTCTCAAACCATTTAAAATATAAAAACCATTCTTAGCTTGCGGGTCAGACACAACCAGGTGGCAAGCTGGCTTTGGCCCGCAGGCCGTGGCTTATAGACCCGGGGTCTAGACTGGTGTTCTCACCCTGAATCTGCTGCACATCAGATTCAAGTCACTCTGCCATGGTGAACAGCGGGCTCCTCACTGCTTACAAACTGAATTTAATCCCAACCCTGGACGATGGCCAGCTGGTGTCTGCCTGGGACTTTGTGGGCAGCTGCCTAATGGCTTCAACCTCGACAAGAGGAGAAATTAGTCAAATCCCCTTTCCTGGCTGTGCCACGTACCTTCTCCTGAGACTGAAGGCTTCCTGGGCTTACAGACTGGGGGCCGTCCCCTCTGCATTTTGGACAGATCCGGTCCTCGCTGGTCCTGGGGACACATGAACAAAGCCTGCTGAGTGAAGCATTCATGACTTCCTGGGGCCACCTTCCATCCTGATGGCTCTAAAAGCCTGGGCCTTGCTTGGGGTGGCAGCTGATGTCAGTAAGCTGGCTCTCTCCCATCCCAGACCCACCACTCCCAAATCTCGGAATTACTGGGTGTCCCAGATGTCTCCCGGGAGTTTGTTGTGAGCCTAGTTGGCAGCCAACTGACCTGGGGTGACCGGAGGCTGTCGTCACCCATACTTACCCCACTGAGGGGTCTATTTCTGTCTCACTGCGGAAACATCAATTATGCTGGATTATAACTGCCCCAGTTTCTGCTGGGAGAATGATATAGCAATGTACTGCCTCACTTTTCTAAAATCTGAAAGATTCTGAATTTCAAAATACATCTGACCCGAGGCGCTCAGATAAGGGATTGCCCATATGTGGCTAAATGTGCTCTTCTTGGCTTCGGGTCTCTGATTTTCAGGAATGACAGATGACCATAGTCAATCCAAAGAAGGGGGCTCAGAGAACCAACCCAGCTTCTTAACCAGTAGTGGGTGTCAGACCCTGAGCAGAGTGACACACGCCCCTATGTGCTTTCAGAAAGTTCCCAAGTGTTGCCCACCCACAGCGGAGAGCCATTGGCTCCTATCTACAGGCCCATCCTACCCAGGAGGAAAACAAGGCTCTGAGGACACGAGAACATGTGTGTTGGCCAAGAGCACACTGAGTCAGGAGCTGGGCGGAGCTCTTTTGGCCTCAGGCCTGGGTCCCTCCAACACCCAGAGAGCTCCATCCCCTGCTCTGGCACGTTTTAGAGGAATGGGGAGGAAAGCCAAGAGACCCATGGCAAGAGCCTGAGATGAACCCAGAAACATCAGCTCAATGGTATAAGCAGTCAAGCTTTGCTCCTCGCCCCACCAACTCCCCACCTGGCTTGTCCACAGCCACATCCTCTCCCCTCCTCGGAGCAGCCCCTGTCAGAGCCTTTGAAATTCACAAGTCTGCCTGATTCAGTTTTCCCGCCTTCTGATGCTGTAAAACCCCAAACAAAGGTCACACTGGGGGCATATGGCAGACACTAGGAGCATATCTGCCAGGAATCTGACCTGGGGCAAGTGGACTTAATCTCTCTATTGGGCCTCCTTGTCCCCATCTGTAAAATAGGCGGATAACAGTATCCACCTTCCCAGGCTCCTCCGACGATCCAAGGAAACAAGGAAACAGCGCTTAGCCTACAGTAGGTGCGTAAAGTTGCTTAAGATGGGATGCTGATGATCATATTAATGTCACACCTGAGATATTCATATTGTACATATAAACATACATATTTTTACATATTCTATACACATATAAAATGTGTACTCTACATAAACACATATTTATATAGAGACATGCAATTTAATATACTATATGGATAAATCTAGCTGTGTGTCCCCTTTGAAAGGGTTGCCAGCGAACGGTACAAGGTGATACGTGCTATCGTGGAAGCAGATGGACTTTACAGCAGCATTTACCAAGGGAGCGTCTACTCATTCTTCTAAGAACTCTCCCACATACTGTTGGTTGGGCCTTGTACCAACCCCGGGAGGTAGCAACCAGCTCTGGAGGGCTCTTACAGACAAAAAAGCTGAGGCTTCAGGGTGCTAGACACACAGCACCAGGCCCCCCAGTCAGCCAGCGGCCCCAGTGAGGGCAGAGGTTCTCTCCCTCCCTCCACCCCAGCCGGCCTCTGCTGTGGGAGCGAACACCTTCCCGTGGCTACTGCTCCCGCCATCACTGGGAGGGCCGGAGCCAGGGACGACAAAGAAAGGGTGTGAAACAGGCCCAGTGAGGTGAAGTCACCTGCCGAAAGCCACCAGCTCCTCTCACCCTTGCCTCCCATCGGGGGCCCCTCCCTGACACCTTTTCCCCACCCAGCCCTGCTCCTCCAAGCCCTCACCTCAGGTTCCCAGAGAGACAGGCGGCACAGCAGGGGACCCTGGGCTCTGGTGGGTCCTGGCAGGCGGTGGGGGGGCACCCAAAGGGAAACTCGTTCTCATCTGGGGCCGGGCGGGGGCTGCTGGCTGGGCCAGAGGCCATCCTGGGGTACCAGGTTGGCCAGGGGCTCCCGGTCTATGCAACTGTGGGGAGGAGACCAGCTGTGGAAGCTGTGGAAGCTGCTGAGGGGAGAGGTGAGTTCTGTCTGGCGAGCAGGAGTCTGATGACTTTATCTCTTCGTAGGCTTGTGTGGTTCAACGTCACAGCTGAGTCACAGCAGGGATGGGGCAGGAATTACCCTTTGTGGTGCAAAAAATCCCCTGGATGGTGACAGAAGGCTTTAGGAGTGTCCAGTCATTCTTTAAAGTGAGAGAGAAAAAGAAAACAAGTCAGAGAGAAAAAAGAAGTGGGCCCCAGATTTTCAGGAACTGCCATCAGAGTTTCCCTGTCTGAGCACCTTGGGCAGCTGCTGGCTTCCTCCTCCTCCTCCTCCTCCTCCTCCCTGGGGACATCGGCAGAGAGTCACAGCTGGGGGCTCCTCTGTGTTCCCTGGGACCTTGAGAGAGCCTAGAATTCTCAGTGGGGGTGCTCGATGCCCTGGTGGAAATCCCCAAGGTTCTGGACACAGGTCCAAAAACACAAGTTCCAGGCGCTTTAGCTGTGTCCTGGCCAGAGCTTCTCCGAGGTGAAAGTCACTTCCTCACAGTGGGTCTTGATAAAAACATCTGTTAAAAAAAAAAAGACTTGTAACAGGCAGTCTCCAAGCCCCTTTGGGCTCTAAGATTCTGGGACCTTGATGGCCAAGGCAACCCGAGGCAGCTGGGAGGCTTCTGATGTCCCAACCTTGCCCATGGCGTTCCTCATCAGTCATGGTGATGACACCGGGCCCTCCCAGCTCCTTTGAAGCAAAGCCTCCGGACCATGAACTGCTCAGGCCCTCCCCCCATTTCCCCACTCAGGAAATTATAGGTGGCCACACACTTGGGTCAGGCGCCACCACTTCCCCAGCCCTGAGAACAAAGCTCTCAATAAATACTAGGTCACAGGGAGCTGGCCTCATGGCCGAGTGGGAGGGAGATCCACGGCTGTGTGGGAACTATGGCTTCTGGCAATGTCTACTGTGGGCCGGGCAATATTTTCCTTCCTGTTCCTCCAAGTGACCTGCTGGGGATTTAATAGCAGGAATTTAACACACAGGCACAGAGAAACAAGACGCCTTGTCCAAAGTCACAAGCCCCTGGTTGGGAAACGGCATGGGCACAAGGTCTGAGAACTCTAAGATCTGTGTTTTCTACCCATAGAAGAGAGATGAAAGCAAGGCGACCTGGTGGGGCTTACAGAGCCGGGACTGGATGTCAGAGCATGCAGCCTGTTTTCTCATCTACCAAATCCAAGAGATGATTCCCTCCACCTCTTCCCATCCTGCTGAATTTTTGCAAACTTTCATGGTGGTTTCAAATCCTGGGCTTTGAAGTCTGACAGTCTGAGTTGGGATCCTAAGTCTTCCACGTACTAGCTGTAGGTCCCTGGACATGGTCTTTAACTTCTCTGAACCTCAGTCTTTGCATCTGTAAAGTGGGGGAGAATAATAAGGTCTACTTTACCTGACTGTTGTGGTGACCAAGGGAGGGGGTGGGCGGAAGCCTCACATGGTGCACGGCCCAAGCCAAGTGCTTGGAAGGCTCTGACATTGTATCCCAATAACGGCCACAGCCCTTCCTCCTCCTCAAGATCAAAGAAAAGAATTAAAATGGTAAATTATGCTTCCAAAGTGTTTCCACATCCATCAGCTTCACTTGAGCCTTGTAAGTAGGCAAGGCAGGCCAGATGTCCTCTGCCCCTAGAAAAATTCAACTGCCCCCATTCCCTGGAGTGATACTCGGGCAGCTGGCAAAGAGGACATAGCCCCCTACTGCTGCAGGTATAAACTGGGATGCCCACCCCCACCTGGGCCAGCTGTGGCCTGGGCCTCTTAGCAGATGACCTTGAGGCCTACTTCAGAGGAGGCCTATCAGAAAGGCACTCCCTTAACCACATACCCCAAACCTGTAAACCTCCCTGCATTCCTTCTTCCCCTTCCTGTGGTATAGACTGACACCTATCTCCACAACCAGGTTCTGGGTCCCTTTCTCCCTGGTCTCCTTTCTTTCTCCTCTGTCCTCAATGCCTCCCTCTCTACCAGATCTTCCCTATCAGCATCAAGATGTCCCCAAGCTGTTCCAGTAATAAAAGGGAGAAATACCAGGTGCAGCACTTTAGTGCTGTGTTAAGTACTTCTAACCACCTCACCTAATCATATGACCCCTTTGAGGCAGGGACTGTCTTCATCATCCCATTTTACAAACCAGTTAAGTGACTTGCCCAGGGTCCCACAGATGGTGCGTGGGGATTCCTGAACTCAGAGCCTGTGCTCTAACCACACATTCCACCGTTTCCCCAAAGTCCTCTCCCGCATCTACACTCTCTCCACACTTAAACAGAAATTGTAGGAAAGACTGTCTATGCAGAGAATTCCTCCCTTGAGTCTCTGAAACCATCTCCCCAAGGTCTCAATGTTAGGGTCACCGGTGCGCATGGGCTGTCCCAGTTTCTATCTAACAGCCCTCTGGCCAGCACCTGACACCATTCTTGGCCCCTCCTTTCAAATCTCCTTCCTTCCCCCGGCTTCTGCACCCACTCCCTGTATCCACTCCCCACTTCTCTGGCTGCTCTTCATCTTCTCCTCCACCCCTTTTCTCTTCTACTCTGAACCTCCATTGGTCCCATCTCCCTGACTCCACCGCAGGGATCCGCAAGGTTGGAGTCTGTCTGTGCCGCGTCCCCCCACCAGCCTTCCACTTGACCTCTGGGGTGCACTTGGACCAGACTCCTGAGAGTCTCGGTGGTCTGCCCCCAGAATGGGGTTGGGCGCCCAGCTTTGCGATCCCGACGCGTCCCCAACAGCTCCCCGTCCCCCCCCCCCCCCCCCCCGGTTGCCCGGCTCAACGATGCTGGGTTGCTTCTCTGTGCCCGCCCGCCCCGCCCCCCCCCCCAAGCCCCGTTCGTGCATCCCCCGCCCCGGGACAAGTGACTGTCCCCTCGCTACTGCCACAGCCCCAGGTGCGTGCCCCGTGCTGAGGGCGGAGCAGCGCGGGCGACTAGCCAAGGATGGGCGAACCCCTGGGCTGCCCCGGCTGCCCGCAGGAAGCGCTGCGGTAGGGAGTCCGGGGGCGGGCTCTGCAGCTGTGGAGTCCTGGTCACGGACCGCGCGGGGAGGCCTGCACTGGGGGAGCCCCCGCCCGAGCGAGCGGGAGCTGGGGCGTCCCGGGCCGGGGAGCGTGGGGGCGGGGGCCAGAGTCTCGGGCTGAGCCGGGGCGGGGTGCAGCGCCACCAACCTCTGCGCCGCCGCTGCCTCCCCGAGGCCCGCCGGGAGCTTCCGGTGGGGCGCCGGGACGTGGCCCGGGAGGCGGAAGCCGGGGAGGGCGGGGGCGGGTCCTCGCAGCCTCCTCCCGCTCCCGGGGCCGCCCCGGGGGCGGGGCGAGCGCTTCCCTGCCCCGCCCCCCCGCGGGGAAACTGAGGCCGGGGGCCGCGTCTGCATCGTGGGTACTGAGCGCTGCCCTTGTCCTTCTCTCCCGCCGTGGCCCCGGCGCCGAGGCAGAACTCAGGAAAGCGTTTGCAGAGTAAACGAAAACAGACCTGGGACTTGAACTCCCACCCCGTCTCTCGCTTGCCTGAAATCCTGAGTGGGGATGGTGTGAGCAGTAGCAAAAGCCCTGCTCCTGGCTCTCTTGGATTCCTGCAAAGCGCCCGGCGCAGTGCGGGGCTCGCGCAAGCTTCCTGGTTTGGGGAGGTCGGTGCAAAGCGGTTCCAGAGGCGCTCTGCCTTTACCGAACTAGATGGAACCCTTTCTGATTTCATCTACACACACACACACACACACACACACACACACACACACGCACGCACGCACTTGTTCTTTATAAACTTGTGTATATCAGTAAATAGGGAACTTAGTGCTGGGGTGGAGTTTTAGTTTAAAAGATACAAACAACCTTTATTTTTTTATCAGTTTGTCAAAGACTCCCGCATCAGACCTCTAAAATCTGCAGGACCGGTAGCTGAGGGAGGAGTGAGGCTGTCCTCTTTGTTGATTTGGTTTTGTTTCAGTTACTCAGAGGCATCCATTACGTTCTCTTTATGTACCAGGGGCTCGCTCTCTCTCTCACTTTTTTTTTTTTTTTTTTTGTCTTGATACCCAACCGGAGTTGGGAACTGTGTTTTATTTCTTTGGTTTTGTTTTGTTTGTTTGTTTGTTTCTTTTAAGATTTTATTTATTTGTCAGAGAGAGAGAGAGAGAGAGACTGCCTGCCAGGCAGAGGGAGAAGCGGACTCCCCACAGAGCAAGTCGCATGTGGGACTGGATCCTGAGACCCTGGGATCAGGTCTGGGATCATGACCTGATCCGAAGGCAGGCACTTAACTGACTGAGCCACCCAGGCATCCCTGGGTGTGTGTGTGTGTGTGTGTGTGTGTGTGTGTGTGTGTGTGTGTGTGTGTGTGTGTGTGTGTTGAGAGGTAGTTAAGCCTCCTATCCATCCCGAGCAGAGCTTCTGCTGGCTTCTGAGGGAGCAGCTGGTGCTGCAGGACAGAGAGCCCTGCTGGCGAAAGGAGAGCCTTCGGGTCCTATTTGGAGGAGAGACACCTGCTTACAAACAAGCAGAGGCTCTCCAGGGCCTCCCACAGAGGCCATCTGTGGGAAGCTGACCAGCGGTGGTCTCTGTAGGGTCTTTCCATTCTAAGAGAAAAGGATTGAGTTTTGAGTCTCTGATTTAAAAATTCACTGATGTTTGGTCCAGTCCATGAAGGATGTGGGACCCGTAAAAGCCATTCTCTGGTCCCACCTCTGTCCCAACCACCCTGTCCTCTCTACCCCCAAAATAGAGCAATGTAAGCGAACAAGCAACCTGACCTCACACTCCTCATGTGTCACTTCCTGTTTTCAAATTAATGAGCTCATTTGGTGGAAATTTACCAAGGGAAATAGTTTAATTTTGGAAAGTACCAAAAACTTATCTGTAGTCATTTGGCTTATTTTGGGGGGCTCTTGAAATTGAGGGGGCATCACCAGAGGATCTCCGAGTGCTCAGGGAATGGCACGGCTGAAGAAATTAAAACCCAAGCGTCAGGAGGCTAAACCTGACTCAGAGAGGAAATGAGACCTTTCGGAGACCACTCATCTCTACCCAGGAGAGAAAATTTTTCTTTCTAAAAATAAGTTTAAAAAGAAATGTAGTCCATCTGGCTACGCCGTAAGATCCGGTGGTCTGAGTGTGAGGCCGTGACTGAGGAACCAGAAAGCAAATCGGGGAAGTGGGGAACATCTGAGCCTCGGCGGCCCCTTTCACATCCCTGTCTGCTGTGTTGGTCCTAGGAGGCACCAAAAGGCTCCATTCTCCAGTTTCAGCCACCTGTCCTTCAGCCACCAGGGTCTTGAAGCTGAAGCTGCCTGCCTAGCCTACCTGCCTTTGCGATCCCATCACGTCCCCATTCTGGCTTCTGGAGACTAGAAAACTGGCAAAAACTGACAAAGCTCTGACAGTTTGGTGCTGGGAGGAAGAGGAGCTGTATCTTCGTCCCTCTGCCCCTCACCTGGAAATCTGTGTGATATATTGGAGCATCTGTTTATATATCGGAATGAGCACTGGACTAGGAGTCAGACTTATGTTCTGTTCGTTTTTTCCTTGCCTCTAAACCAGGAGGAGTTGGAAGATGAATAAACGAATGCTTAGATAATGGCTCAAAAAATAATAGTTCATAGATTTTTTTGATAGAGGCAAATGACCTTACAGCTCATAGAATGTGTTGGGTTTTTCAAACTTTGTATTAGCTGTAGGACTGTGTCTTTGAATGCTTTCAGTATGGAACCCAAATATACAAACCCGCTAGAGGCGGAGATGCTCTGTTAAGCAGAGCAGGTGGCCCAGAACCTTTGCCCTGGGCTTCTGTCTTCCCCATCCTGACCTCTGGGCCCCAGGGACATGGTTTAAAAATCATGGGCCTAATGAGTTGTGTTCAGGTTCCGAATGTGGAAACAGGGATTCTCTCCGGGTCTGACCTGCCTCTGCTGTTCCAGTCCGTTCAGCCTGTACACTGACAAGTGTGCCTTTGCCTGTGCTATGGTTCTGGCTGCTAGTGAGCCAGGGCGTGAGAGGAGAGAGACATTAGCCTGGCCCAGGTCATTTGCCTTCTGGGAGAAGGCAGGATCAGACTCCAGCCTAAGGAAGTCTCTGGAGGATTGGCGTCTGTGGTCACAGCAAAGATGAGAAGAAGAGTGGGACAGATGCCCTTGGACCCTTTGCACACCAACACTTCCACGTCACAAAATCCAGGCCTCGGGTTCAGGTAGGTGAAGTGGGGCCACCTGGCGCTTCATTCCGGCTCAGAATGCCGGCCCCTCTCCGGCCCCTTAACTCCTGACATTTCCTCAGCAAGAAGGCAAGTTGATGTCTTCTTCAGTGAGAGGAGAGGAGCTTAGTCACTGGCTCCATTTGGGGGGGGGAAGAGGAGAAGGAAATCAGAGTCTGTCCTGGGGGGGGGCAGGGGGCGGGGGAGGGGTAAAGGGCGGGTCCCAGTCGCTGCAGACATTTTTATTGATTTTGCTTGAACACGTACACTGGGCTAGGCCGTAGGCCAGGCCTCACGCTGCACCTGTGAGTGAAGCAGACACGGCTTCTGGCCCGGTCACCGCTACCTCCTAGATGTGCACGAACCAGCTACCAGTACTGTCAGCGGATGAGAGCCCGTTTGGGCATGGTCCTATTTGTCATCAATGTTAGGTCTGTTATTAAACGAAACGAGACTGAGACAAAGTGAAAGTTATTTAAAGCTTTATTTTATGATAAGTATTAGAAGTTAGACTGATCGGTCAGGGGAACGAGACTGAGACAAGGTGAAAGTTATGCAAAGCTCTATTTTATGCCGAGCATTAGAAGAAGTCAGACTGACCAGCCAGGGCCGTCTCCGAAGAGAGTGACCCCTCCCCATCTTACAGACCACCTTTTATAGAGCAGGAGTCTGGCCACACATAGGTGGCCAATGAGATTGTAGTCATGTTAGGTCATACGCAGGTGGCCAATTGAATTACAATTTACCCTATAGTAGCTGTTTGACCCAACCTATTACTCTGGTCAGAATTGGTGCTCAAGGTTGGCGCCCAAACGGCGGGGTTTACATTCTTTGGTGGTTAGGGAAAAAGTATGTGTGTTTCTTACTGATTGGATGTTTCCACCTGGCCCGACTCGTCCTTGTATTCTGGGCTCTGTTATCAAGAACTGGCCGACCTGGCCTTGTATTCTGGGCTCTGTTATTAGGAACTAGCTGCCCATAGTTTACTGGTTTCCCAGACTTGCTTCTAAGTAAGTTTCTCTGGGGGGAAAGGGGCAGGGTCAGTTTAAGTTTTACTGCACAAACAACAAAATGGCTTTTAACCAAGATGGAGTCGCTCTGGCTAAATAGGTCCTTACAATCAATGCTTAAAATGCGGAGCCCAGAATGGGCTACACCCCCTCTCCTTACAAACACTGAGTGTTCCCAGTTTTGCCCTCAAATGCCTTCTTTTCATTGCCAGCAACAGGCTTTGTCTGTCACAGCTTGTGTCCAGTAAAAACAGGTGGTGGGGTGTCTGGGTGGTCTGTCGGTCTGACTCTGGATTTCTGCTCGGGTCTTGATCTGGGAGTCCTGGGATCGAGGCCCCTGTCAGGCTCTGTGCTCAGTGGGGAGTCTGCCTGAGGCTCCTCTCTCCCTCTCCCTCTCCCACTCCCCCTGCTTCCATTCTCTCTCTCAAATAAATAAGTCTTAAGAAAAAAAAAAAAGGGCCAGTGAACAGCTTTCCTGTTAGCATTATCTTAATCTCCTCTGATAACTGTCGATTTCTGAGCCAAGAAATTTAATGAAATGGATGACTACAGGTTAGCAGTCACCTAGGAGAGAAGGAGACCAAATTATACTGGGTTCTTCAATCCAGATTCAGTACTTCTGCAGTGCACAAGGGATATCAATGACAAAACAAAGATACGCACCAGATGATCCTGTGAAAACGAGAGCCCGTAGCATGCCCCCTTTCCCTGGCTGTGATGCTTAAAAACATCCCACGTTTCTTGGTTCTTCATATACTTATAATAATTGGCAATTTACAAAATGTGCCTGTTTATAAGTTTTTTTTTTTCTTTCTGCCCCACTAGAATATATGAGTAACAGGGAATATAGGAAATTAAATTAATTAAGTCCATTAAGGTAGAGCTGTATTTGATTTCTTCATTATTGTTTCCCCTGGCTTAGTCCCTAGGAGGCATCCAATAATAAACATTTGTTCAATGGGAGACTAACAGGCAAGACACTAGCCATAAACAGTTTTAGTTAAGGGGAATATCGTAGATGATGATTTTACCATCATCAAAAAAAATATTTAAGTATCTTTGACTTGGCCTTTTTTTTTAGGGTATTGTGAAGAGAGAGATGGCATTCTAACAAAAGTTCGAAGAGAAATCTGGGGTTGTTTGTTGAAAGGAGTTTCTGTGTTGGGTGACTTTCACTTTCTCAACAGATCTCCAGATTTTAAGGTGAGGGACAGAGTGCTTCTGATGTTCTTTGAACCGTAGGCATCAGAGGTGTCCCTGGGTTTTTCCAGTGATTTGCAGGACTGGCCACTTTGAAACCACGATGGGAGTTTCCATTTATGATAAAAGTGCCCATGACACTCATGAGAATAGTGATGTGTTTGAGGCAAAGAGCTTGGCTAATGGACACTTCGATAAGGACAAGTCCCCAAGATGCCAATAAGGAGGAAGGCAAACATCTTTGGATTAAATACTAGACCACCTACTCCTTCTCTTTGCTATCTCTTGTCATCTGTGCACCCTGCTCTAACAGATTGGTTTTATATGTATGAAATTCCTTCTTTTGTGGATGCTGGCAACAAAGACCCTCCTAAAGGTGGATACCCCAGGTCTCCAAGATGGTTTTCTGGGCTACAGAATTACCGCTCTTGCTTTACACACACTTGTGTGAGATTGGGTTTCTCGGGCCTTTAGTCGGTGAAGAACAAGAATAACTCAATGTTTGAGCTCAACAGGAGTCAACATCAGGCTGAGGAGGGACATGGCCTGGTGGTCTTCATCCCTTCTGTCCTGAGGACTCAGTCTGAGAGAAAAATCAGGGCACGAGGAGAGTTTTGCTTAGGAATCAGAACTGTGAGGCAAGTCCCTCCTCTCCTCAGGCCTCCTTTTTCCCATCTGTGAAGTGGGAGAACTAGCTCAGAGGAATCCTTCATGGCAAGTCCTGGTGCTACAGAAGGGGAAACTCTCCCACCTCTCTGGGGGCTGCTCTCCCCACCTGGACCAGGAACCCCTGTGATGGAGGTTCCGCAAGATGCCTCGTCTTTGGGGACTCCAGACTTTTTTTTTTTTCTTTTAAGAGAAAGCAATGTGAAAAACCTCCTCTGATGAATTTCTTTCAGAGCTCAAGCCAGATGGATTCCCAGCACAAGCCAAGACTTGGAAACAAGAATGTGGGGCAGAGAATGAGAGGCTGGGGCTACAGCATGTCCTCTCTCAAAAAAAAAAATGCCAAAGCTGGGGGCTGGGCAGGGCTGTGCACGTGGGGTCGGTATTCTCTCATCTCTTCTGACCTTCTTATCTTACAGAAGGGAAAAGGGGACCAGAGAGGGGGACAAGCTTGCACAGTAAGTCACGGGTCTTCTTCTGTGTTCTGGTGTTCTTAGGTCCGAAGATTTCTCGGTAATACCTTGTCCTTTGTTGTTTCTGCATTCATTTCTCTGTGGGCGTCTCTCCATAAGACTGAGTGTATGCACACTGGGCGTATTCAACTGGGTGGCCCCCTTTTGTCCAGACTGCATGTTGTACACAGTGGGGGCCCAGTAAATACCTATTATGAGGGACTGATCTGTCATCTTAAGAGGACCCAGGGATAGTAGGAAGATGACAGTCCCACCTTCCACATCTGCAATAGGTTCCCAAAACGTATTTTAACAAATACGTTTTTAGCTTATACCCTGAGCCTATATGCTCATTTTATTTTATCATTGATTTATTTTTTAAAGTAGGTTCTGCGCACAACGTGGGACTTGAACTCACACCCCTAGATCAAGGATTGCATGCTCTACTGACTAAGCCAGGCAGTTGCCCCCTATTTGCTCATTTAAAAAAGAATAAGAGCATATACATTCAGCAACACTTCCTGAGAAGGTCATTGTCTTAATCATTTTGGAGCTATAATTCAGGCATTTTTGAAATGCAAAATCAAATAGATAAGAAAAGCCATTGTTCCAGCTGCCATCCTTGGTTACCGTCTTTGGTAACCAGTGTCCAGCCATACAGCTGGAGCCTTGGGTAGGGTCCTCAGTTCTCTCTGCTTCTCTGATGACCGAAACTGGAGCTTCTCGGAGAAGCTGGGGTCCGGGCACCAGCTTCTTCCCAGTCCTGCCTCTCCTTCCATAGAGAACATGTCTACACACGAGGCCTTCTGAACCACCTTGGAGCCCCTCCAAGGACAGACCTGGAGACCGGCCAGCAGGGAGGTGCTCCTGGGAAGGACACATCCATGGCAAGCAGAAACCATGGCATACAGGCACACACATGTAAATGCTCGCAGGATGGCCAGCTTGTCCAAGGTTTGAAGAGAAACTGGAAATCGGGATTTGTATGTGGAATGTCTTGAGTTTTAGAATACTCCGTGAGCCAGAAACCAGACCCCAGCTGGGTGAGTGCCCCCCAAAACTGTGTCTGTGGGCCACTATTTGTGACCTCTGATTAGAGCCGGGCACCCCACATGCGTGACATAAGCAGATGTGCTAACACCCTGCACCCAGCTCACCCAGACTTTGCACACTGTATGTGCTTATCCAGAGGCAGACCTTGCAAGCACAAAATGGAGACGGGTCACCATACATTTACACACGCATGCTATCTCCCAGGATGTCATTTTAATATGGTCACTTTCCAGCTAAGGAGACTGAATGTCAGAGATCTCCAAAGTCGTGGAGCTAGTGGGTGGCTGGACTTGCATCCCAGGCTCCTGATGGCAAAGCTAGTGTTCTGAACGGCCATACAAACTGCCTCCCAGATGCTTGTACTTTGAACTGAAATGCCTGCTAATTTGCATCCTTTGCTAAACTCAGCTCCCTGTGCTCAGGGACTGTGTTTTCTTTGTTGTTGCATACCCGTCCCCTTGTGCTGTGCCCAGTGGAACATAGAGAGTGCTCAGTAAATGCTTGGGGGGTTGTCCACAGGCAAATCAACAAGTGTGCACACACAGGCCCATATAAACCATGTACAGTCATGTAACTCCACTGTGCCCGGGAACACCTGAACACTCGGAGTTCCACAGGGACACCCCCCACCCCCATCCCCTCCGGCCCATGGCATCCAACCCAGCTGGGCCTCCCTGAGTCCCCCTGCCAGTCTTGCCCAAAGGCTTCACAAATTGTTTCCTGGAAATCTCAAGGCGGCTGTGGTGTTCTTTTTCCCTAATTCAGGAGACAACTCAGCAGTTTTGTTTTTCAGTCTGGGACTCATAAACCTGGAATCTTTTCTTCATTTTTTCCACTAGTGTTTTCCTTGGCTGGGTGCCTTTCCCCAGGGCCATGGCCAAGAGGTTATACTCAGCATGTTCTCTGTCGGGACCCATCCTCCCAACCTAGGGGGCAGTTGCAGAGAGCAAGAGAAGGGACCTGTCTCAGACACAATCACTTTAAAGAAGGGGAAACTGAATCAGACGGTGTTATGGGGAGAGATTGGGGAAGGTTGGCTCATTCTAAGTTTGTGTCAGTGAGTACTACTACTAAGTGGTTTTGTGATTTTTTAAAAAATTGTTGAATATCATAAAAGAAAAAATAGTTTCCAGAGCTCAGACAAGGCGAGAAAGGCCCTCTGCTCTCATTGGCATCTGTGTGAGGCAGGTAGTGGAGGTTTGGGAAATTCATCAGATTCAACTTTATCCTTGAATCCCTATCACATTTAATTGGCAAGGAAACCAAGATACAGAGATGTTGGGAGAGGGAGAAGGAGGAATACTCTTTGCACATCTGCTATGTGCAAGTTATGCTTACAAATTCCCTCTTGCTTAATCTTCATGGGCAATATTGTTGCCTAGGGAAGTGGTTTTGTTTCCATTTTACAGATTAACACATAGAGGCCGAGGGAGGTCTCGAGATCAGCTAAGGGGAAAGCTAGGATTTGAATCCAAACCTGTTGTTTTCTTGGCTTTGCAGCCTCCTGGATTTTCCCACTGGGCTTCAAAGGGCCCAGGGTGAAGCCTTTGTAGGTGGGCTCATTGAGGCAAGGTTTCCATGGCCCTCCTGCTCAGAAAGCGACACCCCTCTCCTTGGCCTCTTCTAGAGGGCAGTTTGGGGGCCATGAGGAGAGGGGTTGAGCAGCCCCACAAAGCCTGAGGTCAAGGGCCTCAGAGCTGGAAGGAGGGTACAGCGACTGGCAGCTGTGCCAAGGCCCCTTATCTAAGAGCAAAAACAGGATTGGATGTCTTTATAAACTAAACTCATGAGAAGTTCCAAAGGGCAAGGGTTTTCCTGGAAAAGAAAGCAAGTCCTGGAAGGTTTTTGTTTTGTGTTTCTTCTTAATGGGACCCTGGTTAATGACTCAAGGAAATGTAGACCACATTTCACCAAGAATTAGTCACTGCCCTTCTCAACCCATCATCCGTTTTGCTATCCTGTTTAAAACCTTCAAAACTCACTTCCTGTCGGCAAAAATCCAAACCCCTTATTCTGTTTGTTTTGGGTCTGGCTTGGCTTTATTTTTCACTTGTCTCATTTAAACAAACTGCTTAGTGGCATCTGTACACACCTCCTAGATTCCACCACTGGACATTTAGTCATATAATTCCCTCTCTCTGAAAATATTTCATTTCAGTTTATGCATATCTTAGTCATTCAAGACCCAGCTCAGAGCTGCCTTCTCCATGGAGCCTTCTGTATGGTGTCCAACAGGAACTCTTCTGCCTTGTGCTAACCTTATGGATTCATGTTCTAGTTCTCCTAATAGATGAAACTCTTGAGAAACAGTGCTGGATTTCCCTATGTGAGCACATGTGTATGTGTGGGTGTACTTGTGTGTGTGTGTGTGTGTGTGTATGCCCTCTATTACCCCCAGTGCTGCCATTGAGCTGAAAAAGATTGTGTTAGAGTGAACAGTTGTGTGTCTCCCTTTCTTGAGTCAAGAAAGGGGGGGGCTCCTTTACACTTGGAACTAATGTCACATTGTTAATTACACTGAGAGAGAGAGAGAGAGAGAAATGCTCCATGGAATCTACTTAGAGAGCTTAATGTGTGTCTAGGGTAATCTGAGATGGGGAGACAAGTGACCCCTGACAAGTGACAAGTGACCCCTGATAGCCCCCAGAGAGTTTAAAGGATTAGAGACGGGTGCCATCCTGGGCAAACAAAGGAGTGGTGGCACCGCTCAGATGAGCCTGAACACCTCAAGATGGTTTGTGTAAAGGATGCTGTTCCCATGGACTACAAGTGAGCCATGCCCTGGAAGAACTGATGTGAAGGCCTCTCAGATGTATCTAACAGGGGGGACTAACTGAAGGTATTGCTGGACTTTTAGGACTGCAGAAGGAGTGAACAATGGGATTCAAGGCAGTGCCATGCCCACGTAAGGGGAAGGTCCTCAGAGCTTGTGGGGGGAGTGTGTGAAAAATCTATGGATGTGTCTACCCTAGAGTCAGCTTTAAAGCCATTGTATGATAGCATTGGTCAGGTAAGACCTCTTCTGCTCTCCTTTCTTCTGCCTCTCCTCACCTCCCCAAACCCCGACCCCTCTAGCCCTGGAGAAGTCAGAAGTCACATTTAGTGAACTGGGGAGGGGGAAGGGGGAAAACAGCAGCGGTCCCTGCCCTTATCCCCAGCTATAGGGGTCCCACGTGCAGCAAGCCCCAGTTGAAAGAAAAGATTGAATCTTAAATCAAATTAGGAATTTTGCTTTTGTATGGGACTGAGCATCTAACTTATGAAAAGAGTTTGTTTGGTGATGAAAGTGATCGCAGGACTTTTTACTTCCTGAGAGTGATCAGAAAAGTTGTAGGATGCCCAGCTTGTCATTAAAGGGCAGAGAAAGGGCATCTCTCCGTTGTGGGGTTGGGAAATGAAATTAAGTTGCATTATGATTATACACTGTGAGTCTTACTTACTCAATGTATTGATTCTCTTTGCTATTGTAAAATAGGTTGACTTCTTCGGTTATATTATTCTAACTCATGGTGTTTGCTTCTATCTTCCAAAGCAATGAAGTCCCTATACTCACCTTAGTTAAAGTCGTTGAGCAGGCACAGAAAGTTAGCTCTACTTCAGGCTTCAGATCCTTACCTTGAGGGGATTTTAAGGAGCCTCATGTCCACAGGTCAAGGGACTCTCTATCAATGGTCCTTTGTTGCACATTCCTGTATAACAATCAAATTCTGATTATGATGTTCTATTAAATGTAACAGATCTTAATTTTTATCTCCCCTTTGCCAGGTCTTGTGCTTAAGGATACAGAGAGGAACAAGACACAGCACCAGTCCTCCAGGAACTCACCCACATAGGAATGAAGGGACAGGGATAAGCCATCAGGACACTCTGTGTATGGTAAGAGTTCCAGCACAAGTGTGTTCACAGAGAATGACTTATTGGAGGTTTTACTGAGTCCATCCCTTGATGCTGCCGCAATGCTTGTCCTATGGTAGACACTCTGACCCAGGCCATGCACTTACTTTGCAAAGGCCAGCTCTTCCAGGAAGTCTTCCTGGATTAACTCAACTTCCACACCAATTGCTTCTTTACTTTGCCATCTCAGCACTTTGCAATTTAGCCTCGTGTTCACTTAACTTGCAGCTTTAAGTACATTGAACAAACATAACCTGCAGGAGGCAGTGACATGCAACTTATCCCAGGCTGTTCCCAGGAGCTGGAGCTAGGATCGGAATCAGACTGTTTGACACCTGCTTCTCACCCACAGTCACTACAGAATGGCAATCACGGGGTCCTGTGTGTGTAGCATTGTCATAAGCATTTTTCCAGGCCTATATAGTCTAGTCTTTATATCTAGTCTTTATAGTGATTCCCTTCAGAGGCAGCATAATATTTCATGGAATGTGTGTACCATCGTCTGTGTCATCATTTCTACCTCTTCAGGCCATCCTTCATATGTCGTAGTTAACGTATCATGTAAAGCATGTCACTAAGGTACGGTGAATTGCTTTATACGACATAAGCTTAGACTCGTGGATCTGATTGCTGCTTGGTATCTCCGTGTGGGCATCTACACGGCTTCTCATGGAAACATAACAAGCTCCCTGCAGAACCCTCATTCTCTTCTCCAGGGCTTCCTAGGGCCGCCAGAACAAAGTGTCACACACTGGATAGCTTAACACAACAAAGATGTGTTCCCCCACAGTTCTGGAGATTAGAGCTCTGAACTCCAGCTGTCGGTTCCCTCTGAGCGCTCTGCAGGAGAATCTTCGCTCTGTGTCACCCCAGCTTCAGATGACAAGCTGGCAACTCTTGGCATCCCTGCCCTTGTTGAGGCATCTGTCCGATCTCTGTCCCGTCCTCAAGTGTCCTTGTCTTCACGTGCTGTCCTCCATGTGTGTCTCTGTCTCTGTGTCCAAACGTCTCCCTTCTCCTAAGGACACCAGCCATGTTGGAGTAAGGGCCTGCCCCACTCCAGTATGGCCTCATCTCACCTTGACTGATTATATCTGCAATGACTCTATTTCCAGAAAAGGTCACGTTCTATGGTGCTGGGGGTTAGGAATTCAACCTATTTTTTCAGGGGGACAGAGTTCATCCCATTATATCTTCTCTTCTCACTTCTCAAATTTTTATCTTCTCCTGCCTTCCCCAACTATATAATTGGCTCCTGTGGTAGCTCAGTTGAGAAACCATGAATAATTCTTGATTTCTCTGCCTCCATCACCCCCATCCCAATTCCTTCAGCAAACTCTTTTAGCTGCCTCTAAAAATACCCTGACTCTACCCATTTCTCTTAATCTCCATTTCTACCGTTCTAGTTCAAGCTCCCACTACTATTCACCAAAATAGCTACAATAGCTCTAGCTGGTCTCCCTGCCCCTTTCTCATCTATGATCTGGTCTCATGCCCTTGCTTAGGGCCAGCTATCGAATGAAGCTCAAACATTCCACCCGTGCTTACAAAGTCCTAGTGATCTGGTCCCTCCCTCACCTTTAAATTCATTTCCGATCACTTGCATCCTTTGATCAGCCTTCTTGCAGTTCCCTGGGCCACCACCCTCCTTTTCTGGAACCTTCATTCGGCTGCTCTTTCTCCTCATGAGAATCTCAGCTTGAAGGTCATCTTATTTACCAACATTTAAGAGACCGTCCCTGACCCCCCTGATCAAACTCCGTTATTCTCTATCACAGACCCTTATTTTAATTCTCTGCAGGGGATTTTGTAAATAGATTATTTTTCTCATCTATGTAGGTATTGATAGTCTTTCCCCACAGTTATAATGTAATTCCTAGGAGAGCAGGGACCTTGCTGTCTCTGTTACACCATCTAGAACTGTGTCTGGCACACAGGAGGAACTCAATAAATATTTCTTAAATGAATAATTAATCCTGCACGGACGATCTTTATGTAGGAACCGTCCCCCCCTACTTTTGAAAATTTATTGTAAATAATCCAACAGGAGGAAGATTACTGGATCAAGGAGGGACAGACACATATTTTGGCTCTTGAAATGTGTCGTCAAAGTGGTGTGCAAAGATGTGAGGTCAGTTTTCATTTCTTGGGCAACTTCTTGAATCCCAGGTTCGAGGTAGTGATTTTTGGTATGTGGGCGAGGGAGGGAGGGCAAGGTAGAGTTGCTGCCTCTGGTGGGCTGAGGCCTCAGTGGCAGCAGCAGGAACAGCAGCAGCCGCAGCAGCAGCAGCAGCAGGACCAGCAGCAGGGACCAAATGTTCAACAGGCCCCTCATTCTGGTGCCCGTCAAGAGAGTCCACAGCCCGGCCTCGCAGGCCTGTCTGGGGCCGCACACACAGGGGGACTCACCTGCTGTATGAACTTGGCTGAGGTGGTGGGAGCCAGGGTGAGCCCAAGAGCTGGCAAGTACACCTGCTCTTCAGCACAGGGAGGCCTAGTTCAGAGGCCAGGTCGGGAAGTAGTGAGGGTGTGGAGGCCGAGGACACAAAGTGGGGCTTGGACCAGGTATTGGAGGGCCTTTTGCAAAGGTTATTTCTGGATGGGAGCTTCTCTGCTTGGAACAGGGAGTCTGGGACTTTAGGTGTTTGCGCACCTCTATGCACAAACCTCCAGGAGCAGAGAGACCTGTTTCATGCAGCTCTGTGCTTGGCCAGGCCCATTCCGCAGCGCCCTGCCCCGTCTGCTCGCATCGCTAAAACAGCAGCTATGTGTAAGGGGCTCAGAATAGTGCCTGGCACGTAGTAGGCATCACCCAAGGGTTGGCCATTATTAGTCGTCGCCTGTAATCCTCAAGGGACTGTAAGCTTCCTGGTGGCGGAAACCATATCTGAGGTAGAATAGTCTACTGCTAATGAGTCCAGCTGCCTGCGTTCTAAATCCTGGCTCCAGCACTTACTAGCTGAGTGATCTTGGGCAAATTACTTAACCTCTCTGTTCCTCAGTTTACTCCGCTGTAGAATGGAAATAGTACCAGCCTCACTGGGTTGTTAGTGGATTCAGTGAGTTGATGAGTGTGAAAAATACAGAGCAGTGCCCAACACGGAGACAACACTTAGTGAGTGAATGGATTTGATAAATGCCCAGATCTGCCCTGAGCACATCCTGCAAGGACAGCCTACCGTTCCTTCGGTGATCTCCTACCTTCTCTTTTTCTCTTTCTCTCTTTCTCTTTCTCATTGCTGCCTCGTGTTTCTCTTGCTCCCAGAATCCCTCAGCCTTTTCTGCAACCCATTCCTACAACCCAAGACCTGTGCACAATTACGCTTAACTAAGATGTTGGTTATTAAGGCGTTACTTCCATTCATGCAAAAATTCTGACTTTGTAGGACACTCTCGAACCTTGTTATGTCTGAGAACCCACACTGTGGGCATCATCTGGGAGATGCAGACTCTCAAGCCCTCCAGACCTAAAGAATCAGGAACTCTACTTCCCCAAGCTCCAAACCAATACTTCTTCAACTTTGATGTGTCCATGCTTTTCCTGGAGAGCTTTTTAAAATACAGGTTTCTGGGCTCCACTCGGAGTTTCTGTTCAGTAGGTCCAGGTGAGACCCGAGAATTTGCACGTTTAACGGGTGATGTTAGACGGGGGAGCTGCTGGTCAGGGGACTGCACGTGGTGAAGCATGGCCCTGAGACTGACAGCCTCCAGGATCAAAGGAAGGAAGCCTCATAGGAATATGGGAAAATCTGAGGCACTGGGGTAGACCGCTTTTTAAGATAGTGGACCCCTTGCCAGTCTTCTAAAAGCTTATTAGGCAGTCTCTGCCTGTGGTATCTGAACATAAAAAAGCTTTCGGTTATGAATGTTATTTTCCGTATCTGTCCAAAATTCTATAGCTTAAAAGTCCTTTCATGTGTTTGATCTTATTTCATCCTGCAACAACCCTGTAAATTGAGCTGGGAGAGTCTCACCTCATTTCCAAAACAGAGAACTGTTTTGGAGAGGCACAGAGAGGTCAGAGAGGTAGAAATCCCACAGCCAGCTGGTTGCCATTGGCCACCACAGACTGTGCCCCCTGGACTGGCATCTGGCTACTATTTCTAACCCTTGCCACCCTCCAAGGGTGATAATGCTACTCTGTCTTCATAGAGGGGCCAACTGAGAGGCTTGCTGAGGTTCAAGAATATTCCCAAGGTCACAAACAATTACTTCCTCACCGTATCACTTCCCCATAGTAATAAATCCTGTCTCTTACACACACGCGCGCACACACACACACACACACACACACACACACACACACACTCTGCAGCCAAACCAAAGGGCCGTTTTTGATTTCCACACTCAGCATTAAATTAATGAGCAGGCCACACTTTGGCCTTTTGCGTTTAGCAGTGAAGGAGATGGCAAGACAAGGGTTGGATGATGACCAACCCTGCCCCAAGGCCCCAGTGGATCCAGGAACCCTCCTTTCTACTTTCTCCTCCTACTCTGGGCATAGCTCCTTTCTCTTCCTCTGTTCTCAGAGAATTCAAGTTCCGTCCTGGATCTAATTTCTGAAAGATTCTCTATTTGGAAAAAAAAATTATTAAGCCAAATAATTCTTTCCTTAGCTCTGATTTCTCTTGCCCCAGTCAGCTTCAACCAATCCCCCTTTCCATCTACCACCCCTAAAACACCAACACAAAATACATAAAACACACAAACACCCAACAACCCAAACTTTAGCCAAATAGAAAACCCTCTTTCTAGGATAGTTCTGACTTCTCCCATCTCACCTGCTGAAAATGGTAGCCCTGGACCTCACCTGGGGCTCTGGCCTCTGTTTGCCTGTTAGGCCCAGCTGGTGGGAGGAGGTTCTGGCCTTGATTCCCCCGTGGGAGATCTGACGAGGCCCTGCTCCTTCCTGGCCTGTTTCCTCATCCATGAAATTGGGAGAGGTTGATTAGATGATCTCTAGGAAACGAGATCAAGACTGAACCACCTTGCTGCCCCTCCAAGAGATCTTTAAACTTCTGTATATTATGATTCTACATAGGAGGTCCACAGGGGAGGAAACATCAACTCTACTGGAGAATTTGAGTCCTTTGAGGGGAAGTGGGGGCACCTGTCGATTGAGAGTTCTTCAAATAGTGTTGTGTCCATGTGGAAAATGATCTCAGGACACACTTTGCAGAATTTTTCTCTGGTGCTGCCTCCTTTCATTTTTGTACATCCTGTGTTTCCACTGCCCCCGTGCCCTGTATGCAGAGCCCTTGTTGGCCACACTCCGCCCCACCTGTCTCCTACCGTGGCGGGGCTAGGGGGACCTTAGAGAGCATCTAACAGAACACACTCTGGGTGAGGGGGGCACTGAAGCCCAGGGAGGTAGAAGTTTGCCAAGATTACACAATGGCAATGTATTGCCCTTCCAGTATGTGAGAAGGACACTCTGCTCAAAGGCTAGGAGCCTGGGCCCCTGGGTCCAAAAATGCCCTTCTACTTGTGAAGGTGTGTGACCTAGGGCAAGTTAACTGTCCAGATCCTCAGCTGTTTCCTTCTTGAAAGTGAGAATGATGACCATTATCAAAGGGTTGTGAAAGGTCGATAGGTACACCACATGATGCAGTCTGCATGATGCCAGGGAAGAAATGTGTTAAGTTCATCATGCATTGTGTGCCAAGGCTGTATTATTAACCACCCCAGGTAACATTTGCCATGCCAGGCACTGTGCCCATCAGTTTATATGCATGATCTGTATTATCTCACTTAAGTCTCACAGAAATCCTCTAAAGTGGGAATTAATAGCCTTCCCCATTTTTCAAATGTGAAAACGGGGGCTTAAGGAAGTAAAGGAGACATTTTTGTTTCTCTTAATGACCTCTCAGACCTGAAGGCATTTTGGACGTCATCGGGGCAAACCTCCTACACTGAGAGTCTCCCGTACCACTCCTGGAAGGGGCTAGGGATCAGGCACTTGGTCCCTCCCAGACGGCCTCCTCTGTCTTTGAACAACTCCAGCTATAAGAAAATGCTTCTTTGGACGGAGCCAAAATAGATTTCTCTGTAACCTCCTCTCATTTGCACGATGGAAAGAACGCTGGGCTTAGAGTCAGATGCCTCGGGCTCATGTCCCAGCCCTTCCACTTAATGGGGTTCTGACCACCAGCTAGCTGCTCCTCTGGGCCTGTTTTCCCAGGTGAAAATAAAGGAATTGGATGAGAGGAGCTCTAGGTCCTTCCTGGTTTGGACATTTCAGGATCATATAATTCATGATTGTGTGTGTAATGCACACATATCTGATTATAATGATGGAAACAGTGAAGGAGCAGACACTGTGTTCCAAGGAACAGATCTGCTTCTGCCAACATGTCTGTCAGGGTGGGGACCCTGCCAGCTGAGAAGAATCCAGAAGGTTCTTAGAAATGGAGTTCTCATCTTGTCCTAAAACAAACCCCTCCCTCCCTCCTTCCCTTCCCTCTTCTCTTCTCCTCTACCTTCTCTCCTCTATTCTTTCTTCTCTTCCTCCTCAATTCCTTTCTGATTCAGAGCCATGAAGGGATATTTCAACCTCCCAATCAAAGTTAAAGATCATGTCCCTGGTGACACGTGTCTCACATTGCACTAAGTGTGCAGAATCAATTTGTTTCAGGAATAGTGAAAGCTGTGGAAACATGATGCAGAGCTGCTTTGTGTCTGTGGGAGTCTCTCCATTGTGGCTGCTGGCATCCCAGCTCCTGAGGCTGTCCTCAGGCCCACACGAAGACTTTCACAGGGCTTCTGAAATTCGATGTAAACCTGTGCCTTGCTTGTGTATGTACATGTTCTAGGAAAAAAGGGCCTGTGTGAGAGAATATAACTGGGTGTTAGACTGGGAGCCAGGCTTGGTGACCCTAGGAGTTGACCTGGTTGGTATTCAGAGTCAGGCTGTGCTGACATCATGGAACACAAAGACATCACATCAGACACAATAGTGCAGGATGAGAAAAAAAGAGACTTTTCCATAATCATGTTTGAGTAGAAAATAAGAACATTATCCAAACCTCAAAAATGATCAAACACGCCCACTTTCCTGGCTAATGTGAGTGACTGCTACTTCTTTTCCTTCAAGTTAGGTAAGAATTCAGATATTCATTCATAGGATGACTCCTACTTCCCGAGAGCATCCAATCCAGAGCAAAGCCCCGCTTCCTTAAACCTTCCCTAAAGGAATCCATCACAAGCCCAAATCCTATAAGAATTCCTTTCTCACATCCTTGTCTGAGAAGCTCTGTGGTTCCCTTGGTGTTTGTTCTCTTTCACTGCAGAGCCAATAAGCTCTGTTTTGTTCACTCGCGACATCTCTTGCCTTATTTATTGCAGTAAATTTACTACACTGTAAATTTACTCCTACTGTCACCCCTCTGCTCAAAATCTTGCAATGGCTCCCCTTTCCCTCTGAATAAAGCTATTACACTTCCATGATCTGCGTGATCTTTTCCCTATGCCCTCGCTGGCTTCCTCTCTCCACCTCCCTCCCTGGTTACTCATTCTACCTCTATTACACCAGCCTCCTGGCTCTTCCCATAAGACACCAGGCTTGCTCCTGCTTCAGGTGTGGGGATTTGGGGCTCCCTCTGCCTGGAACACTCATCCCATAGGTGACCACATGGCTTCTTCTTTCGCCACCTCCAAGTCTCTGCTCAGGTATCACTTTGAAACCTACTCTGACCAGATCACTCTATTTAAAACTGGTGATGGGTATAGGTCGTGATGAGCACTGGGTTGTTATACGCAACTAATGATTCACTGAACACTATATAAAAAACTAATAATGGACTGTATGGTGGCTAACTGAACATAATAAAAAAATAAAATATAATAAGGTTTTTAAAGTTAAAAAAAAAACAAAAACCTGCAACCCCTCCCTTGAACACTCCCCAGCACCCTTACTCTGCTCTCCTCTTCTTTTCCCCAAGCTCTATCCCCTTCTAACAGTCAGGGTCAGATGCATAACTACTGTCTTTATTGTTCATGGTTTGTCTCCCCAGCTGGAATCTAAGGTCCATAAGGGTGGGAATCTGGGTACCAAGTGCCTAGAATTGGCCTTGGCCTACAGTTACTAAATCAAGACATATTTGTTGGATGTTGCTGAATAAACTAGCATCACGGAGGATGGAAAGTAAGACTGAACATGACTTTGGCTCAGAATCCCTCACTGAGAAATATGGAGTGAGGTCGCCTGCCTTAAACTTGGCCCATTGTCAATTCCACATATTTTCTGAAGACAGAGTTTCCTAAACATCAGTCTTGTACATGCCAACCTCACGATTTTTTGCCCTAAGAATAACCTGTACTTTTGTTTACTTAAAAATTTTCCTTAAATAGACTTACTTTTTGATAAATACATTTATTTTCAAAGAAAATTGTATATCACAGCTTTGAGGTGCTAGTTGTATTTTTTTTCTAATACATGTTAAACCTATAGATGAATCACTCTATCATACACCTGAAACTAATAAAACACTGTATGTTAACTCACTGGAATTAAAATAAAAACTTAAAAAATTAAATGTATGGCTATTAAATGAGTAGGCTTCCTTTGTAGCTCCTAAGTCTTCTTACTACCCCAGTGTAAGAAAAGCCTATGCTTTTCCCTTCAACCACAAAGATCCTTCTGCCTCCCTCTACCTACGCAAATCCTGCACGCCCTTCTTCAGGAGGGCCTCAGGAAGCCCCCCGCCCCATTCTCACACTCATGCCTTTCGCCGAGCTCCCCTCATACTCAAAGGAAAAAAAACACACGCCCTTCTTCCATGCCATGTGGTTCTGTTTTCTGTTCCGCAACATAAGATTGTAAAATATCTTCTTAGAGCTATAGAAAGGTCTTTGACTATGCAACTCTTTGTTTGATAGGCCATCAAAGAGATGAAGAGGCTTGCCCCAAGTCCCTGCGGGGGCAAAGTCAAGACTGGACTTGGACCTTCTGATGCCCCATTCTCAGTGGAATCCGCAAACACTTAATGAGTCCCTGCCATGTGCCCAGCATTGCTCACCACAGCAGAGATAGTGGTGAAGAGAACAGATCCGGACTTGCCCACGCAGAGCTTACAGGGGTGCTAGGAAGCTGCACACTAAATAAACACTTGTATGTGCTTAGAGAAGTAGTTGCAAGTGACTTGGAAGAGAAATGCAGGGTTCGGGGGGACCCCAGACTGTTTGGAGGATTGTGAAAGCCTCACTAAAAAAGCACGTTAAATTGCACAAGAGTGAGCGGAAGAGGAGCTGGTGGATTTCTAAATGGTACCAGGCTAACTCAGGAAGACTTGGTTTGATGTTGGAAAACTCCACTGCACCAGGGTTAATTAGATCACTTTGGCTCAGTCTCTTTGCCACAGGGCTCAGGGAGAAGGCTACCCATCAGCTCAGAGACTTTGGTGCCTCCTGGCCCTTCATTCAGCAAGAAGGTGACAGGAGGTGCTTCAGGTCTGCTCTGGAGGGGGACGCCTCACCCTTGCTGGCACAGTTCAGGCATATTCGACACATGGGTTGTTTTTGCCAAAGGAGTGCCTACAATGTGAGCTTGGTCATTAACAAAAATAAATTCTTAGCTCCTGGAAGTGGAAAATATTATTACCTACAAGGCACATTGTAAACCTTATGTCATTTCACCTAAGTGGTAAAATGCAGCTTTTTCAAGACAGGAATGCATTTTAGTCACCATCAGTACTATATCCAGAGTTTCTCTTCATGTTTTCTTGTGAGATTTCGGTGCACCTTGTTAAACTCTACCTAAGAAACTCCAGCCGCATCCCACATTGATCTTAGAAAATTAAACCTGACAGGGGCGCCTGGGTGGCTCAGTGGGTTAAAGCCTCTGCCTTCGGCTCAGGTCATGATCTCAGGGTCCTGGGATCGAGCCCCGCATCAGGCTCTCTGCTCAGCGGGAGGCCTGCTGCCTCCTCTCTCTCTGCCTGCCTCTCTGTCTACTTGTGATTTCTGTCTGTCAAATAAATAAATAAAATCTTTCAAAAAAAAAAAAAAAAGAATGAAAATTAAACCTGACAAGCAATGTACTGGTGTAATGATGTGGAAGAAGGATGTGTGTGGACTGAGAGGAAGTGGGTTTGTTCTCCAACTCTGCCATTTACTAGGCTGGAAAAATGGCTTGACTCTTCTGAGTTTCAATGTCCTCATCCATAAAGTGAGGTTCATAAGAATCCCTGCACCTTGTGAGGTCCTTGAGACATTAAATGGGAATCTAGGCGAAAATTCTTTCAGGAGGTCTAAAGTGCTTACAAAATGTCATTTAAAAATGAACGTCCTATTGCAAATCTTCTTTTCCAAAGTTCAGATGGGCTCAGAGACCTGGTTAGGGCCAGAGGAAAGGTCTCTTGATTCCCACTCGGTTTCTCTTCCCTGGGTTGCAGCATTAAGGTTTGCCTTCCAGGGTAGCAATTCCTGGCAAGAGCAAGTCGCTGGGGGAAATGACTAAGTGCTGGGAGGGAGGGGCAGGGAGGAGTGGGATCCCCATGAAGGTAAGAAATGGACACTGGGAGGGGAGATACCAGGGCAGAGGCTCCTACCTTCCCAGTTTGCTGAAGGCTTTGACATTAGGTCTTCTCAGGTCTCCGTCGCTACCTCTGTCCACCTTTCAATTTGCCTGACTGTGCGTTTGAAGCAGCCCTAGCATAAAATAACATGCTTTTTCATTTTTTGCACATTTTGAAAGCAAAGTCAGGGTTTAACGATCAATATTCTGTTCCTTGGTATTTTCTTTCAAGCAAAGGCCATGTTATTGTAAGATACTACGTTTCAATGGGGCTATTCTTACGTCCCCAGCAAACATTCCTGAGTGGCAGGTTTTAGGAGGTGCTCCAATTTTTATTGCTTCTGGTGTCTGATAACCTTGGCAGGAGTACTTGTCCCATGCCCCCCAAGGCCACTGTATTTCAGAAAGTTACAGTTCTTAAAATCGTTCTTTAATAAAAGCAAGTGCCACTAATCCTAAGTAAAGTGAGCTTTCCAAATAAGACCAGCTGTGAATGTTTAAAAAAAGAAAGAAGGGAAAGGAAGACACTTCAACAACAGGAGTCCACAGTGAAAACTGTGCATAGTTAAACCTCTTCAGGCATTTTCACATTCATTTAAAAAGATGTCTTCAGCAAACCTATCCAAATTCTCCACAAATGCTGAGCACGTGGGGCATGTGGTGTTTGTAGGCCAATATTCAATCCAGGTTGAGGAATCTAAAGGGTAGATGTACCTGCCAAGAAAAAACGACAGTGAAATGGTTGTGGTGATGGCCACAGACAGAGAAGAGCTGAATTCCACAAAGCTCAGCCTGCTTATGCTGTCCAGGCCCCAGGAGGCCATGCTGTCAGCCAGGCTCTGCTGCACTGGCCTCCCCCTGGGAAGGAACACAAACCCCCAAATCTCAGGAAGCCACTTGAGGGCTCCCACGATTCAAGGCAGGAATGGTATCTGTTTCAAGAATTATTATTTATTTAAAAAAAAGATATTTATTTATTTGACAGAGAGCAAGAGAATACAAGCAGGCAGAGCAGCAGAGGGAGAGGGAGAAGCAGTCTCCCCACCCAGCAGGGAGCCCGAAGCGGGCCCAACCCTAGGACCCTGGGACCATGACTTGAGCCAAAGGCAGTCACCCAACCAACTGAGCCACCCAGGTGCCCCTCAAGATCTATTTTTTAAAAAAGAGACAATAAAATGCGTATTTAAACATTTCTCTCTTTACAAAGAGAACAGTCTGAGAACTTACTGAGGGGGCAGATATGGTATTGAGGGGGTTGGGTGAGCACCTTCAGAGGCACCCTCAGACCCGGGTCCTCACTTGGTTTATCTGTCAGTGAGTGCTCAGTCGCCCTTCATGGTTTTAAGTGGCTCTTTGTTTTAAATTCCCATTGTTTCACTGATTCTTGGCCTTATGGCTAAGATCAAGTGTAAATTCACATTATTGCATTTAGGCTTCTAATGGTTTGTTGGTTAATAGCCTGACACATAAGAAACGTGCAGTTAAGAATAAATGACACCTAGTTTTGAAGGGAAGATCAGAAACTCCAAAATGACTTACCTGAAACTGAAATTGTATTTTATCTGGAGGGCTTCTTTACCCATAATTAAATACTGTCTTCCTTTCTCCAGATCAGCATTGGTACACGTGACCTTTTTAATGAAGGTGACTTCAGAGTCCTTTTCCGCAACAGCTTCACCTGAGAGGCACACAAGTAAGATTATCACATTCATGTTACGATGTCATGAGCATAAACTCTTAATAATTCCAGTTCCTCATGGCTAATTATTGAGTATAAACTTAATATAAGTGGCTATTGGAGAGTGACAATGTTCATATGGTTAAGACTTTGGAATCAGGCTCTCGGCCATTTGCCAGCTGTGTGGCCCTGGACAAATGAGGCTCAGACCCATCATCTGGAAAATTGGGAATGACAATAAAACCCACCTTCTTAGAACTGTCGTGAATACATGAGAAGTGCTTACAACACAGAAAGCACGATATTAGTGCTTCTTACTATTACTTCTTTAGAACCAGGAATTAAAAGAACTTCTCTATGGTTGAACAACATTAATCTCCACTCATTATATAGTAAAATAAAAAAGTATTTGGCAGCTGGCAATGGATAATTTTGTAGAGAAGTACAAGACATGTGAAAGACTCTGGAGTAGTCTCAAAGATTCTCAAAGAACTCAGGAGTAGTCAAGAAGGTGGCTCCCTTACATAGAATGCATTCCTTCCCATGCTGTCCTGTTGCATTTCTACCCATCTTGAAACACATCTTCAATTCTCGAGGTATCCAGTAAATACTCCTGGATGTTCTTTGTCATAAATATCTCTCTGTCTCTCCTCCACTCCCCTTATACTTGAATTTCTATCACAATGTTTCATTTCATTTATCTGTCTTCAGCTAGGCAGGAAACTTCTTGAGGCAGGGACTGGGTCTGACTCGTTGCTATAGATTCAGGACTGATGATAGTTATTTAACTCTGACAGAGTGATCCTAATTATTGAATCCTGAAAAACTTCTGGACATATGCTTCATAGTAACTGCATATATGGTAAGCTTCAATTAGTGATATTTAATAAGCATGCACACATCAGTTCCAGCTGGTTTTCTTACACCCTCCTGATGACCTTCAGGACATGACCTCCCCTGGAAGCAACATCTAAGCAGCATTCCCAGCGCTGTTTACCAGTTCAGCCCCTGTCATGGTGAGAAGGGTGGCTGCTGGGGCCTTATCATTATTTGTAAAAGCCTTTTGTTATAAAACGTCTCAAGCATATTCAGAAGAGGGAATAGTTAATTAACCTTAGCTTCCACAATCACTGATCTTTTTTTCCATTTATACTGTCACTCAGAGCACCCTGTATTTTAAGGGAAACACCAGTTTATCATTATCCTTGAACTGCCTATTTGCCCTCTATTCTAAATAGCTTAGTTTTTAGCTTGGCTTATTGTTCATGTGCAGCAATTTTTGGGTAAGTGGTAAATGTGTGGTGTTCTGATATTTATATACATTTGAAATTTATACAATTAAAAAAGGAACACCTGGAATGAAGAGATAATGAAGTATGCAAACATTTCTAACATTTCCTTTTAAATGTCATAAATCTGAATGGACAGGAGAACAAAGAAGAAATGATATTGATAAAGAACTACAGCTTGGGAATCATCTCATACTGCACAACATTCAGAACAGCCTGGGATGTCTTCTGATACTATGTAAGAATTAGTAGAAAATAAGACAAATAACTTGTATTTCTGGAATGAAGAACACTTGATTATTTCAGTAAAAACAGGAATGGTTTATTCTTTCTTATAATGTGAAAGCTGGGTGCAAATGGCATTCAAAGTTAGACTGCGAAAAGATCAGAGTGCTAAACACATATTTTCATCAGAATGACAACCATGATTCAGAAAATTTGTGATCATCAATGAGAAAAAAACAGGTTAACACCACAAATCAATTTCATACAATAAAACATTTGAAAATAATAAAAACCAGAAGCACATTTTTACGAGAGTATCGATCAAGCAAATCAAGATTTGGAAAGTATTATTAGTCTATGGCTAAAAATGTTGTAGAATTTTCATACTTGAAACACTTGATAGAATTTCAAAAGAGAAGAAAATTAATATAAACATAAAGTTGCGGGGCGCCTGGGTGGCTCAGTGGGTTAAGCCGCTGCCTTCGGCTCAGGTCATGATCTCAGGGTCCTGGGATCGAGTCCCGCGTCGGGCTCTCTGCTCAGCAGGGAGCCTGCTTCCCTCTCTCTCTCTCTCTCTCTCTCTCTCTGCCTGCCTCTCTGTCTACTTGTGATCTCTCTCTGTCAAATAAATAAATAAAATCTTTAAAAAACAAAAACAAAAACAAAAAAACCCCATAAAGTTGCAATTTAGGTTTACACTCCTACTTATTGCAAAATTTATACCTAGTGAAATGAGAACACAACTTTTTGGAAAATATAAATAAGGTGATAAAATTTCAACCATTATTGAAAAAAAATCAATGAATATAAAAAGTGTTTAAAATAATGTAAAATAAAAAATTGGGGACTTTGAAGATCATTTAATGGGTTTTGCTGATTTCAAGGTGCTGGAAAGAACAACTGAACAACTTATCAAACTGTTGGAGAGAAAAGGAGTCAATGAGGAATACTTATGTGAACACCTTATTGGTGCAAATAGATTGCCAGGGAAGAGTCCAGTTTCAGCAAAAATTCTGAAGTTCCCAGCTGTTCAATTAGGTGTTGACTGAATTACCTATCAAGCAGGTATCAAGTGTCTCTGGACACCACAAAGATAGGAGACAAGCCAGATTATCT